TTCATAAAATCTGCAGACACTTCATCTCAACTTAGATAATGATTTATATGTATTTTAATGATACATACATAAACAAAAAAAAAATCTATTCATACCTACTTCTAAATGTAAAATCCTTTATATTGTGATGACTGATGAGGGCAGGCAAAATTGGGTACCATTCTCTAGAATGAAGAAGAACAATAAATGATTAATTTATGTTACATGTTTTATGTTCAACTCACAATAGGTCATACATACAATGTACATGCAAGTGCTGAGTGAGCTTATTATACCCAGTCAGGTCCAGTACAATCAGTACATTTAGCTACCGTATATACTCGCCTATAAGTCAGATTTTTGGGAGTTAAACTTTGGTCCAAAACTGTATGTCCGACTTATAGGCGAGTTATAAAAGGAAAGGTATTTTAGAAGGCCAGTCCCTCTAATATAAGCTTCAAAAATACAACCGACTTACAGGCGGACCGACTTATAGGCGAGTATATACGGTACATAGCTAAAATTACCTACCGTGGCTTTATTTACCTACCTCAGGTAGCTTTATTTAGCAATTTCAAGGCAACTTTTCACAATTTTTTCTTTTTATTTTAAAAAGACAAAAAGTCGCAAGAAAATGTCTACTAATATTTATTCTAGGTATCATTTAAAAAGCAATCTAAAGCAGAGATAGTTTTAACATTGCTGCGTTTGATCACTTTTAAGGAAAATATGTATTCCCATTGTTTGAGTAACTGTACACTCCTTGTGCGCGATGAGGCTGGATAAGTATGATTACTTCACATTGTGCTCATGTTAACCAAAACTGGTTTTCTTTGTTATTACACTTAAGAATTAAGTTAAACTGTTAGGTCACAAATTAACTGTTGTATATAGCCCCAAAACCTACTTTGATTGCAATTGTGCAAACAAAGACACATCTCCAAGAGTGATTTTTTTCATGAATTGTTTTCAGATGAGTTCAAAGTTGAAAATTATCACTGCATCAAAGTGCAATTTTCTGCACTTTCTGGGAAAAATTCTTATTTAAGAAATAAGTTTGATTTAGTAGCTAAATAAAGCTACTTCAGGTAGGTAAATAAAGCTATGGAGGTAATTCAAGCTACATAGCTAAATCTAGTGATTGTACCAGACCTGACAGTAGCATAAGAAATGATCAAGATGATTCTGCATTTAATTATTTTAAATTGCAATCAGATAAGAAAAAATATTTTTTAACCACAGTAGGGAAATGATTATATAGCAATAACAAACTGAAAAAGGTGTAATACATCTGATCATGTGACAAAGTATTTAACCCCCCTACCCGTCCCCTTTCTACACAACCTCTTTTTACCGCATCCGATTTCTGTGTATATTACAATAGAATAAAATTTTAATAGTTCAAGTCATTAAAACATTGCTTAAAGGGAGAGATATGTATAAACATGCACACATTTGTGTAGTATACTTACATTGTCTTGCACCAAACAACTGCGATTATGATCTGTTATAGTCCGCCGCTGGCGGTTCAAGTGGAATTATCCAGACAAACAGAGCACATTTAACAGAGAAACATGTTATTGAACTGTAACACAAGTAGGAATCGAGTTAATCATCCAAACATGCTGAAGAAATACGATCTTTTGATGTCCGATCTCTTCTTTGTTTACGTGCGAAACTTCTTCCGGTGATCGTTCACGGTTAGATCGTACGCCATATTACTCGAAGGTAATTGAATAAATATGTGTTCAGGAAAAATATGTTTATTTTCTTTTGTGATTTTATAAATATTTCTTTTGTAAACGTTCTATGTCCTTTTGCGTTTCTGTAATTTATTTTGAAATAGGAATTAACATTTACTCCAGTCTGAAGGCTGTAGGATACAGGATAGGACAGGATAGGATAGGGTTGGATTAACTACTATATGTTTCTATCGTGAATCCCCAATCCTGAATCCTATCCAATCCCATCCCATGTCAACTTGCATGGATAGCAGCACTCTACCAATATCTGTGAAAATAAGCTATTTCCTACTACTTCCTGTTTGGCCGGAAGTGACATCATTCGACGCATTTTGATGATCTCGCAAGCTGCTACTTGTCATGTTGAATATTTTTGCTTCTTTGAAGTATTACAAGTTCTAAATACTTTTTGAGATATCAGGAAAAATATTTTGACCCCTTTAGATTCCTTATTCTAGGGGTCAGCCCTTTTTTTGCGAGATATCATTTAAAAGATCTTACAATTCTGCACAAATTTTGTTATATATGTTTTAACAAAATATTTCCTAGTAAAAAGATATCGTACAGAAAGTGTTCGAAATTTTCAAACTTTCGATACGACTTTTTTCAGGCCATAGCGAGCGTGGACGTGTGGCACTTCCAGTGAAAGTTAACTACGTATTACAGATCTACATATATTGCTCTGTCTTCACTAAAAGTTTCACGTTCCTGTGATTAGTGGTTTCTTAGAAAACCTGCGGACAAACTGACCCTCCAAAAATCACTAAATCGCAAAAATCTTCGGACCGGAAGTGACGTCATCAAAATAAAAAAATATGTATCAAGATGTTTTAATGTTCTATCAGACCTGAAGGTTTCATAAAAATCGAGCAAACCGTTTTCGAGAAATTGCGTGCACAAAATCGGTAAGAAAAAAAATAATAAGAAAAACAGTGGAAAAGAAACCGAAGAATAACAAGAATGTCTTCCGCTGAAGACGGAAGACCTTAACTAGAAACTCATTGCGAGCAATGAGAGGTCTTCCGTCCGATTCTGAAAATAGAAACGAAAATTCAAGCTGAAAAAGAGATTAAAGAAATTCAGACACTCTGGAGATTCAACCCTGGTCGTCAGCGTGAAAATCCAACGTGCTAACCATTAACCATTCACTTTTTACATCACTTCCGGTCACGACCGAAATCCATTTCAAATACTTTATCTAGAAAAAAATATTGATGGGAAAGTAAAATACTCAAATTATGTAGTTTTTCTCTTATAACCGGAAGTTGTCGTTTTTGTTTCCGGTGGGACCAACATCTTTCGAATCTGCGAAAAAGATGCATAAAGTGATGCATTTTTTAATTTAAAAAAAAGAAAAATTGAAATTTTCGATTTCTTTGATCACTTCCTGTGACGACCGGAAGTGACGGCTGACGCTCTGAACCCAAATGGTTTTGCCTTCATCTTAAGGTCTGTTGCTCATATAAGTTTGGTGTCTTAATCTCTCACCGTTTCCGACATCTTGCTCAGACAACTTCTCATTTTGAGGACAGGAAAACACGCGACCGGAAGTGAATTTTACAAAGATATTTGACGTTAGTCTAGATATTTGCAGTCTAAATAACATAATTAAAATTCATTTTAAATACTTTATCTACAAAGGATATTAATGGGAAAGAAAAATACTCAAATTATGTAGTTTTTCTCTTATAACCGGAAGTTGACGTATTTGTTTCCGGTGGGACAAACATATTTCGAAACTACAAAAGGAATGCAATAATGTGATATAAGTATTGACTTAGAAAAGCAAAGTTGAAATTTTACGATTTCTTTGATCACTTCCTGTGACGACCGGAAGTGCCGACGACGAACAAAAAGTAGCGACCCGGCTTGCACCTATCACGATCTATAATCCCTGAAAGTTTCACATTGATATCTTTTACCGTTCCTGAGATTATCCGCGGACAAAATGTCATTTTGAATTCAGAAAATGGTCTGTAACTTGGCACCGGAAGCGATTTTCCAAAAAATCTCTCAGATAAATCAAGTTCATGTTACTACACATCTTTTCTGAAAATTTCATGTAAATCCGTCCAATAGTCTTCGAGAAATCGCGTGCACAAAATTAGAAAGTCAAAAAAATAAGAATAATAATAATAATAAGAAACAGTAGAATCACTATAGGTCTTCCGTTGAAAACGGAAGACCTAATAAGAAACAATAGAATCACTATAAGGTCTTTCGTGAAGACGGAAGACCTTAATAATAATAAGAAACAGTAGAATCACTATAAGGTCTTCCGTGAAGACGGAAGACCTTAATAATAAACAGTAGAATCACTATAAGGTCTTCCGTCTGAAACGGAAGACCTTAATAAACAGTAGAATCACTATAAGGTCTTCCGTCTGAAACAGAAGACCTTAATAAGAAACAGTAGAATTTCTATAAGGTCTTCCGTAAAAACGGAAGACCTTAATAAAATTTTTCGATCTTTTTTCAATTTGTTTAACTGAAAAAGTGGTCGATATTTCGATGCTAGAGGGTCAATGCTGATTCAAGTAGGTCGATGCTGGCTATGCAAGTTCTATTCTTTGCTTTGCTCATGCTGATCCCTGCAATATTGTTTTTTAGATGCTGATACCAATGCTATCTGGATACTGAGGCTTATTTTGCTCGGCCTTACGCTGATTTATTTGACAAAATAGTTCCGTGCACCGTAATGCGTACGTAATTTGTGTTAAATGATTATTATAGTTACTTCTGAAGCAGAAAGCGGTAATTGTTCTGCCCAGTATTGTAATGTGTACTTTTTTTTATTAAACTCATATTTATTTATTAAACTGACTTCTGTGGGAAATACAGGTATATTGTAATGTGTAATAACTGCTTATACTGACGTCTGTATGAGGAAAATGGAACCGTTATCCCCTTTATTGTAATGTGTACCTTTTTATTATACTGATTTCTGTGGGAAATACGGGTAACCGTCCTGCCCATAATGTTAGTGTGTACTTATTGAATATACGGTCTTCTTTGGGAAATAAAAGTAACCGTCCAGCCCATTTTTGTAATGTATATTTATTGATTAAACTGATTTTTTTTTTTTTTTTTTTTTTTTTTTTTTGAAAATAGAGGTGACTGTCTGCCCATTATTTTAATGCTACTTTATGATTATTCTGACTTCTGTATGAAATATAGGTAACCGACCTCCCCTGCATTGTAATGTGTACTCACTGATTACATTAACTTCTGTATGAAATATAGATAACCGGCCTCCCCTGTATTGTAATGTGTACTCACTGATTATATTGACTCCTTCTGTAGGAAGAATAGGTAACCGTCCTACCCCTGTTGTACGTGACAAAGACTCTGCTCTCTACTTCCGGAAGGTACGTTCCTACCACAATACATATACATCATAAACATCAATACATATATACAGTATTGCTATCAATAAATAACCGACATTACTATCAAATACATATTTGAACATATGCAACCCTGAGGTTCACAAACTGTTGATTTATAATGTTCAGAAAAATTGTGAATTTCCTTAATATTTTGCTTTTCATCATAGATTGTTTTAATTTGTTTTGTTTTTTTATTTGTAAGTTGTTATATAATTTATTCCAATATCCATTTAATAGTTGTAAATTTAGTTGTTCAAAAATTCCTTAAATAACAACTTCGCATAATTTCATTTCTGATCGTGTGCTGATTTCTTAAAGAAAAGTCTATGTTTTTGGAAAGAAAAATAATTGGGACTAAACTCAAATGCTTAAGTTACTATGATTTTGACAAAATACTAAAACAAAATATATTTGAAACCAACAAATAGAAATTTACAGGTGCATATGTGTTGCAAAGAAATTGCACTAAAAGAGTCAGTTGCTTATAATTTGATGAAGTATTAGCTTTTCTGAGAAGGATTTTTTTTAGTTCAGCATATTTGTATTCAAAATTTTAAACCCATTATATGGTTCAGCCCAGGCTGGAAGATTTCATCATTTACATTCCTTTAAACTTAAAACCCTATTGAAGCACCAGATATGTTCCGGGGATTATGAATTTTAAAAACTAGAATCTACGCTAAATGTTTTTTTAACAAATAATTTTTAAGACTTTTCAATACATATATTCTATTTTGATTTTTCTTAATTCTCCTACTTTGGAAAGAGACCAATTCCACGTATGAATTTTACTAACAGAATTTTTTATTTTTTTGATAAATGTAAAATAGACTAAATTTTAATTAAAACGAAGAAAAAGTATAAAATAAAATTAAGATGCAAACACAGGGTTGAATAGGTCAAGGTAAAGACTTTGTACTTATGTCCTAATCCATTTTTTATTGTTTTTTACATAATAAATTGTGTTCAAATCAAATCAGCAGATTTGCCCTTAATTCAGCTAATGAAAAAGTCATTAATAAACATAAATGCTGTGAAGTGGTTTGTTAAATAGTATTTAGCTGAATATAGGTTTTAACGTTCACATTGAAACACAAGGTGTGTCATATAAGTGTAAGAACTGTACTGAAGTGTGTACGATAGTAATTATTTCCGGTAACTTCCGCTCTCATGAGTCGGAAGTTTTTAGGTAAACATTCATTGATTACACACTATGGTCAATGTATTTCTATGTTTATTGTGAGTTCTTTGGTACAAACATTAATTTAAACTTGGAATTTGTTTTTTATTAATATTTCTATTTCATTTTATTATAGGAAAAATGCATATTTTTCTTAAATATATTACATTATTACTAGTTTTTTATTAAAGGAACCCTTCATATATTAACTTAATATAAACAACGATATCTCCATCTTTTATTCACAAATTTGTATTCTATGTAAATAATTAAATTCAAGCATGTCACGTTTTTGCACGCGTAGATAATCTGAAGAAAAATATAAAAATATATATAATTTTACTGTTGTGAGGGAGAAAGATTTTTTTTCATGAACATACCAATGAATGTTTATAATGTTGTCAACTGAATATCGGGCTGATATTGGTGTTTCTAGCTGATTTTGGGTGTGATATAGAAAAGTGTGTTATATATATATAAATACGACCAATGTAATATTACATTCATATTTCTTGTTTTTGATAAAACATGCTTAGATAAAGACTTACCATATAATATTAAAAGCAAACTCAATGTTCCGTGAAAAAGTGACTCCATCGTGTCGTACATGGCTATAAATTGATCATGTATGAACAAAAGCTAGTCATGGTGAATCGTAGCGACCCGGATATAAGAACGGACGCTGTTAGATCTACCTACTAAACCATCGTCCCTATATTGGTCATCAGCGATTTACACACAAGGGGGAGGTGACGTCACAGTAGATCAGCATCTGTCCTGTAACAGTGACGTAGATGTAGTGTCTGTTTTCCGAGATAAAGGCAGTGACAACACTGTTGTACCAAAGGAACCATTTGTTTTACTTAAGATTATAATGTCATTTTGTAACGGACGTCACGTACCTACCTTCAATATTTCTTTGGACGCGTTCGGTGAGTAGCAGAATTTGGACAGCAATAGGCGGGTAATTGTAAGTGATCTCGTTAGGTTTGTAAACTGTTTATTTGTCTTAGACAAAACCTAACATTTATTTGGTTTGTTACTGACTGTACACAAAACTATTACGGGTTGTTAAAGTCTACGGAAGGCGAGGCGAATTTGAACAACGTGTAATAATTCTGGTTTTTATTTTAACTATGATATGGATTTGAATTTTGGGTATAGTTACGCGTAGAAATATACAAGGAGAAACATGTGTTATTGTGACGTCACAATGACGCAACGGAAATATTTTAGAAAAATAAAGATATATAACAGCAAACAAAATCGAAAATTGAGTGTATTATGTTGATTTTAAAGATTTAAAATGTAAACATAAGGAATGTTTTCCAGTTTGTGAATGTTTCATCAAGTGTTAGTCACACAGACTTGCGCGTATGTATATTTTTCATGAAAATGTCTTCCTGGTAAGTTTTTTGCTATTTACATACTTAAAATACTCACAAAACTAAAAGAAAGTCTTCAGTGAAACAATAATTAAGGCAGTGACGTCACCGTAGTACATGTATCTGTCCTCAAAAATATACTGATAAAGGCAGTGACGTCACTGTAGTTACTGTCCTCAGAGATGTACTTAGAAAGATGGTGACGTCACAGTAGTCACTGTCCTCAGTGATACACCGATATCACTAGAATTTCTGTTCTTAACGATACACCAACAAAGACAGTAGTCACCTATCTATCGTCTCTACAATCTCTGTCTCAGTGGAACACCAACAGATGCAGTATCGTCAGCCGTCACTACAGACCTCTGTCCTCAGTAAAACATACCATCACTACAGACCTCTGTCCTCAGTAAAACATACCATCACTACAGACCTCTGTCCTCAGTATAACATACCACCACTACAGACCTCTGTCCTCAGTATAACATACCATCACTACAGACCTCTGTCCTCAGTATAACATACCATCAGTACAAACCTCTGTCCTCAGTATAACATACCATCACTACAGCCCTCTTTCCTCAGTATAACATACCATCACTACAGACATCTGTCCTCAGTAAAACATTTTTTACGTACCGGTATATTACTTGTGTCGTGCTAGTCTCCTTAAATGTTCATATGTTTAAAACGAACATTTACTGGTGTGAAGTTAAACTTAAAAAGCATTACCTTACTTGTGTAAAGCAGACAGGGAGCAGATTTCTTATTCAGAAAATTAGACACACAAGGGGTCGTGATCAGAACACGGAAGTCACAGTGCTGCATACAAATTACCAATTTGATTTAAAACATACATTCCTTAAATTTTATTAAAAATATTTAGACTACTGTAAACAGTTGAAGCCCCAAAAGATATACTCTACACTTGAATATTAGTAGTAGTAGTAATAAGTGTATGGAGTTATCATTTATAATTTTATTGTCAGTGAGTATAAAATATTTAACGGCATCAAGTATTACTTCAACAGGAAGTATAAATGGTATATTAAAGAAGAGATTGTACAAATAATATGAATTTTTTACGCTAAGTCGTCGTAAATTTCTAGTACATAAATCAGTATGAACAACTACAGCACATATTCTTTTCATTCATGGCACAGTCTTGTGTTGAATAACATTACCTTAATTTGGTAATGTAAACACAATAGAATCAAATGACGCCAAAATTGCATCACAATAACATTTAAATGGTTCACATTCTACCCTCATTATTCTCATTCAAAGCGAGGTTTTACCTCCCCTTTCCTCAGTATAGCCTTCATTCATACAAACACAGCATTATTCAAAACAATCGGCCTTGACATTGACGAAATGTGATAATTTTCTTTTGAAAAGTCTACAAAGCATACAATCGAGTCCTCACTTTGGCACACCCCTAGAAAGCATTTGGATTACAAGCATTTAAAACAAAATGGCGCTGGCCGCATTGTAATGAGACATTTGTTGACGTTCCACAGTGACGTCACGGCATGGCTTTAAAATTGACTCTTCCGCTTCCTTGCTTTTGGTTATTCATTTCAAAATAAAGTGAATTTTCAAACGACTGAGCATTAGAATTGTTAGAATCCGTCACATTAGTGCTGCTTCTAGCCACGTTCGCTTTATTATCCATTTCCTCCAAAGATCTGGAGAGAAAAAAAAAACATTATTAAGCAAAGAAGTTGTCAAGATTTCATATAGTTGTTTAGATTTATGAACACCTTTCCGTTTAATACTATGTTCTTGTGAGGTCCAGAGAAAGCCATTAATACTGCCGAAAATTTGAAGCTAAATTTATACATATCGTTTACACCCTCATGAAGCATGTAACTGTTCATAACACGAACTATTTCTATGACTGAATTTTGCTGTATTTACTTTAATTTCAGCTATTAATATGTAAGATATAATACTGCAATGTAACGTTCCACTTGTCACATTTTCTTAATAATTTCCTGTTTAATGCATAAAGTTAGCATTGTTTGACCTTGTCATATTAACTGTTAGAATATAAACACTTTGGAAAACCATTAATAAAAGATTCCTGAACATTTAGTTGATGAATTTGGGTTTTTTCCGAGGTGATGTTCTGACGAAGTTTAAGTTATGTGGCAAATTAAACTTTGTTTATTTATTCCATGGAAAAGTAAAAATGTTTCTGATGACTATTTCGCTTTAACATATTCCATTTGAACAAATTCCACAATAATACAAGAATATCAGCAGTCTCGTTTAAAGTCATCATTTCGTAAGTTCTATGGTCGATAGAATGACCTTGTCACCAAATACAATTTATCATTGAGTCAAATGCTGACTGACGTTTTTCATACTATAATTTTTAGGCCATAATTTACACACTGAATTGTCGACGGATCTTTCCGTTATTTCCCGATCGTGACAAGGAGAACATGGCGGGTGTGACCGGTCGGCAGGGGATGCTCACTCTTCCCTGGCACCTGATCCCACCTCTGATGTTTTGGAGGTCCGTGTTTGCTCTGCTCCTATTTTGTATTGTTTAATGGACTTTTGAGCTTGAATACTGTTCGTTATCTCCATATATTTCACATTTACCCAAGAATTCTTTTTTTCAAGATATGGTAAAAACTTCACAAAGAATCTGTACCTGTCATTAATAAATTGAAAGTAAAATATTTACAAAATAAAATTAAGGACACTTGCTTCAATCAAACTTTTTTCAAAAAAATCAATAAAATAAGAAACAGATTTATATTTACATACGTTATATGATTAAAATTTTGAGAAAAAAATTCAATAAGTCTTTCAGTTGATCGATTGATTCATTAGTTGTTGTCTTCGTCCCATGAGACGTCAAAACCCTTGCGGTTAAGGGCATCAAATTAAAACTTTTACTTAGCACTCAGGGTCATTGAGTAGTGAGGGATCTTTATCGTGCCATCGCCTACCGTGACACGGGGCCTCCGTTTTTAAGGTCTCATCTGGAGGACCTGCAACTTTCACTTCGAATCGCCGAGCGCATGGCGAAGGAATAGTTGCTACCTATTTCCTATGACTATGGTCTGTCGCGGCTTGGGTTTGAACCCACGACATATAGATCTATTTCATTCCAGGTTACTCTGTAATGTCTTGTGAAAATATTTATTTCAAATATACAGGTTTATAAAAGTCATGGTAAAATGTAAGACTTCTGAACATCATAGAAATTCTAAAAGTTTTAAATACATGTATTTTAGAAATTTAATATTAACATCATTTACAAACAAAACAAGAAGAAAAAAAAACAGATAACAATACATGCATTTATTTTTGTTTGAAGCATGTCCTCAATTGCACTTAATTCATTACAAAAAATTATGAAGTGTAATTAAATCAGACTTATTTAAAAAAAAAAAAAGATTCTATTCTCTTCACTAGAATCTATAATTTTACTTTTGTTGATTGTATTTCCATTAAGTACTGTTACTTACTTTGCTCTACACTATAATCTATAACTACACTTTCGTTGATTGTATCTCCATTAAGTACTGTTACTTACTTTGCTCTTCACTAGAATCTATAACTACACTTTCGTTGATTGTATTTACATTACGTACTGTTACTTACTTTGCTCTACACTATAATCTATAACTACACTTTCGTTGATTGTATTTACATTACGTACTGTTACTTACTTTGCTCTTCACTAGAATCTATAACTACACTTTCGTTGATTGTATTTACATTACGTACTGTTACTTACTTTGCTCTACACTATAATCTATAACTACACTTTTGTTGATTGTATTTACATTACGTACTGTTACTTACTTTGCTCTTCACTAGAATCTATAACTACACTTTTGTTGATTGTATCTCCATTAAGTACTGTTACTTACTTTTTCTTTCTGATGATAATGAATCCAATGACAAACATCACAAGTGCTACGATAGCTAAAACAACTAGTAGAACAACAAACCAGTAGTGGTGGATCCAACCATCATGCTGTAAATAAAATACACAGGTATAGTGGCGGATCCAACTGAAATACTTAATATAAAATGAATGATAGGAATTCATACGTCGTATGCCAAGATTTTTTCTGCTAACGGAGGTAACATAACCATAAAAAACATAAAATTACCAAAATATACTACAGATATTGAAATTTTCATTGACCTGAAAATTTCTTTTACCCAAATATTTTAAGACAAGTAGTTCAAAATGAATGGATAAACGTCATATTCATCAAGAAACAGACAAAGTTAACCCTATTTATGTTTAATGTAAAACAGAATGCTTATAAAACAAATACATTTCCAAAATTATAAGAACAAAATCATGAAAATGACAAACAAGGTTTGCAATTTGTATTTGAGTACTTTAAAATTAACAGGCATGACGAACACACAGTATCACGCTGATACATATGCTTAAATCGTCTTAAAATGAAAAACTCTCGTTCAAAAAATAAATAAATAAAAAGCATCAACTGTCTCTCTCTCTCTCTCTCTCTCTCTCTCTCTCTCTCTCTCTCTCTCTCTCTCTCTCTCTGATTGATTTGAGGTCATAAATCGCCGTTTTTACACTCTACATATGACATGTATTGATTTTCTACGATATGTTTGACTTTTTTAATGATTTGTTAAACAATTAATTCACACTGACGTCTGCTATCGACTTCTATTCGGGCCTTCAGAATTAATAATGTTGTACACGTTTATAAATGATTAAAGAAAGTACTTTTTCTCTTAATAAAAAAGGTGGAGATAACAAACAGTGATCGATCTAAAGAAATCTCCAAACAATACATATCATTAAGCAGGGCATAAAACATGGACACCCGAAAATTTCAGAGGTTGGATCAGATGCCTAGGAGGGGTAAGCATCACCTGTCGACCGGTCGTATCCGCCGTTAGCCCTATGTATTGATCAGGAAGACGGAATATTCCGTAGTCAAATTCAGTATAAAAACAAAGGTTAACATTTGGTATGAAACACATAAGTCAAAAAACGAACCCAAAGATAGGTTATATTTGTTTAGAAAGTCATTATAACGATCATAGAATTTACGAAATGTAGACTTTAAACGAGGTTGTTGAAATCCTTGTAACATCAACTTATCCCTAAATAGCCAGCCTTGGTTTTAAAAATTTATCATACTCAGAGAATGCTCTTGAGTATCGAATAATTTGGGAGACATAAACACCATATGAAGGTGATAATGGAATAATACTATGTAAATAAGGAAAGTTGACAACGGAAAAGTTGAAATGAACTCGTTTTTCATACGATTTAGTTGTTAGTTGGTCCTTATCGTATGTAAACAGTAAAACATCTAAATGCGAAGCATCAAATCGGCTGCAAAAATATATTTATCATTTTAAAGTATTTCCACAAGAAAGAAAATAAAATACAAGTAAAACAACATATGATATATATTTACACTTGCTTTAATTTTCTGCACATTTTTTTATTCCTTAATTTTCAGGGATCCAGTGTTAAATAATAATCCAAATGAACTCATTCATGGATATGAAAATTGGATTGTGATAGAGAATAGGAATGTATTATCATCAAATTGTTTGATTCAAATGCAGTAAATACCTAAATGCTGACAAAAAAAGGATGTTCAAATTTTACGTGCTGATATCCTGGAACTTTGTCACGTGATAACTTTGATCAGTAGGTATAACAATAAATGTGAAGTGTAGAGAAAAAATTCATTGTGTCATTTGCAACTGTAGTGTATTCAAAATAAAATTCGGTTCTTTTTACAATTAATTAATAATTTTTGGCACTGTACTTCATATCCGGATCAGTTCATGTAACAACTTTTCACAAAATCATAAGTATCTGATGAGAAATGAAAACAAATTGAAACGTTATAACAACCATTTAGACTTAGTATTCAGCAAATTTTAAAACTTGTATTCATAACTTTTATGTATGTTATTAATTAGAAATTATTCCAAGGAAGCAAGAAAAAATAACGTCTCATTTCCTCATGTGCACATTCTAACACAACCACAAATAGATCAACCGCTGCTGCGGCCGATAATGAAACAGATGTGGCAGTTTCTATGGTATGTTTTATTTCGAGTTCACTGAGATATAATGAGTCGACATATGAATGGGAGTAACCATTGTTAATTGATAAAACGTCGTCGATATATCTGAATATGGAGTTGCACGCCATAGCATGTTTATTAATTCTAGGAATGTTTTAATGCCAAATTGTATGGATAGATTCGTTTGAATTATTTCCATAGTTTATTTTCTGCCTAATATATACATTTATCAACGCTGATTACACAATTATGCATTCAGTTTTTTATACTTATTATGAGAGAAATGTTGTTTATTTGCATACAAACAAAATCCGTTTTAAAGTTCAATATTTGCATAATAAGAGGCTTGCGGAAGTATCTTAAAAATAAGAACGTCGAACAAACAATAGTAAAATGCGTCATTTGTAGGTTGAACCTATCAAATTCATCTATTTTCTATGTATTTATATAGGTATATAATACGGAATCAAGGATAATAATAAGTTAGAGAGTAAAAACACTCAATCAATATGAAGTGTTCGTCGATTATATACACTATTTTTGTACAGAATATCTTTGAAATATATATACACTAATCTGCAATCTGATTAGTACAGTAAGAACTCATCTAAAAGAAAGCACAAAACCAAAGACATACTAAACAGAAAGCTATGTCTTTTTATACTTCGATAGAAATAATGTGTAATTAGAATATAAATGATTTAGGAACTTTTTATAATCAAGGCCATTCATGAGACTGTTAATTCTCAAAATAATAATAATATAGATATAATATAATCTTCTGATAAAAAGAAAATCACGATGTTGTAGAAGTCTTTTTTGATATTATGTCAGTAGAAATATCAACATACGAGTATTTGCTGTTTTCACTCAGATCATGAGTTCTAATTATTAATGATGATCTTGTTTCTGGGAGGTTTTTCGGGGGGGGGGGGGGTGACTGTTTGATGACTCACCTGGATTTGTTTTTGGGAGGCGTTTGAGAGGGGTGTATGAGTATGGCTGTCGGGGAGGTTACGTGGAATTGGGAGGTAACTGTCCACCATAGAGGCGTGGGAGTCCGACAGCACGCGCTGCACTTCCCCCACATTAAACGGCTTCCCGTTCGAAGTTCCTCGAACACCTATCTCAGTTAGGATCTCACTGAAAAAACAAATGTATCAGAAATAAAGTAGTGTGGTGTGAACAAAGAAGAGGGTGAATTCAGTAATAATATAATACGTCTGTTTGATGAACTATGATTATGTCGAAATATTTATCAGTCTTCTTCGATTAATACTTAGTGCTTTAAAACTTTATGTCTACATTCATGATATTTTTGGATATAAAACTTTAAATTTCTAAATTTTATTTCCAATGGCACATGATACAAAATGAACACAGTTAAATAATTAAATGTACTATAAAAAGAAAGCTAATGAGTGCAATGAACGTGTATAATAGTTGTGCTTGTTTATTATGTAAACTGTAATTGAAAAAAGTAAAATATACATAAATATCTTTTTGTGAGCAATTAATTATAAATATTACGCAATTCCAAACATGTTCAAAGCTAGTAATAAATCATCTGAATTATCCAAAACAAATTAAAATATCCACAATATTTAACATAACTTCGTATAATGGTAAAATTCACATTTCTATTGAGTAAAATGTTTTGCAATCTTTTTCCTTTAAATAAAGTTATCAAATTAATACACTACATGTGCTTCGTAGAAACAAAATGTAAACTTTATTTCGTTGATTGAAAATAATTTTTGCATAAAATTTTGATTTGAAATCATGCAGTTTTGAATAATTTCATATTTTGTAACCATTTCTTTTCTAAATGATTCCTAATTCATCATCTTTACTGCACATGCCTCGCAGTTAAAATCGCATTATATGGTGCTTTGTTTCTTACAATACTCATAACTCAATACTGTTAACTTGGAATAAAATCAAAATATTTTTGAATAGATTAAAAAAGTTCATAATCTTCAATAGACGTTGTATGCTATGCTTATCCATCATATAATGTTCAATTATTGTGTTTCTCTTTCATTGAAATCGTCCTTACCCTGGTTATAATTATCCTCTTAATCTAACTCACATTGTTAATCTAACAACAAAGCTTTATGATAAACGTGATGACTAACTTTTCAATCGTCAACTTCCCTTACTTTTGCAGCAATATACCCTTATCACCTGTACATAAGTTGATATCTCTCAGTTGATTCGATACGCAAGAGCATGCTCTACTTATGAACAATTTCTAAAACGAGGTAGGTTATTGACAATCAATTTAATGAAACAAGAATATCAGCAGTCTCGTTTAAAGTCATCATTTCGTAAGTTATATGGTCGATACAATGACCTTGTCAGCATATACAATCTATCATTAAGTCAAATGCTGACTGGCGTTTTTCATACTATTTGTTAGGCCATTATTTACACTCTGTATTGTCGTTTTTCCGTTATTTTCCGATCATGACAAGGAGCACACGGCGGATGTGATCGGTCGGCAGGGGATGCTCACTCCTCCATGGCACCTGATCCCATCTCTGATGTCTTAGAGGTCCGTGTTTGCTCTGCTCTTATTTTGTAATGTTTAATGGACTTTTGAGCTCGAATACTGTTCGTTATCTCCACATATTTCACTCCCACTATCTTAACTCATCCTTCCTCGGTTTAATTCGTCCCTCCTCTGTATTAACTCACTTTCCCCCTGTTATAACTCACCCTTCCTCTGTTTTAAATCATCTTCCTCATTTTTAACTCACTCTTCCTCGTTTGCAACCCACTTTCCTCATCCTTCTCCTGCTTTAACTCAGCTTTCCTATGTTTTTTACTCATCCTTCCTCGGTTTTAACTCACCCTTTCTCTATTTTTTCTCACCCTACCTCGGTTTTTAATCACCCTTTTTACGTTTAAACTCGCCCTTCCTCTGTTTTAACTTACCCTTCCTCTGTTTTGAACACATCCTTTTCTAGCTCCAGATTTAGCTCCCCTTTGATATTTGTAAAATCATGGATGATTTTTATCAGCGCTTTTCTCACTTCTTCTTCATTCCTGCTGTCAACCTTCCCTCGTAAAACCACGACAGCTTTAGGAGCTAAAAGTAAAGTAAGATTAGAGAAACTACTTCTAACATCCCCACGTAAAACCACGACAGCTTTAGGAGCTAAAAGTAAAGTAAGATTAGAGAAACTACTTCTAACCTCCCCACGTAAAACCACGACAGCTTTAGGAGCTAAAAGTAAAGTAAGGTTAGAGAAACTACTTCTAACCTCCCCACGTAAAACCACGACAGCTTTAGTAGCTAAAAGTAAAGTAAGGTTAGAGAAACTACTTCTAACCTCCCCACGTAAAACCACGACAGCTTTAGAGCTAAAAGTAAAGTAAGGTTAGAGAAACTACTTCTATAAACTTGTAATGAAACGGTGTGCTTTTTATAAAACTATAGTGCAAATACACAGCTTAGATAAAGACGAAATTATTTTATATTATTTTAACAAAAATATGCATGAATAAGGAGATACTTGTAAATATTGGTATTCACCATATTGTATGTTATGTCTTTCTTGTATAATTAAAGACCCTCTATACACTAAAGAAAAAGATTTTGGGTGCAATGAGAAAATTATAGTGTGTTAAGGTGTAAATATTCAGGTTATCTTTAACATTTTTAACATAGGGTACCTTGCATATACCCAAAGAAAAATGTCCAAAGATAATGAATTATTGATGAACAGAAATCACTGCTATTTACTTTAGTTGACAAAATACCTGCAAATGAAGTGTTCAATCTATTCATTTTGGCGTTTAAAATTGTTATGAATGCTTGATTTGATCAGAAATTAATTAATAAACAGTATATTTTAATTTATTTTATCTAGATCAAAAGGCAGATGACTCTTTCTGCATAAAAATACCATAAAATCAAAAGTATTCAGTGTGCAGTGTATAGAGGGTTCTTAACACAAAGAAATGGTGTTCAAAGTCAGTTCATCAAATCAGTACTCATCGAAAATTTGAGGAACGTTTAACTTAAAAGAGGGTTATGTGCATAACTTCTCTTACTTACTTTAAGTGCCTTAGCGGCAGTTGACAATAAATGATTAACTATTGCAGCATTTGTATTTCTTTGTTATAGCATTTGCCATTTTAGTGGTTGAAAGTATTGAATAGTTATTTTTAATGGTATTTCAGATTTGTTGACTGTAAAATTGTATTTTTAGTTTAAATGGTACTGAATAATACAACATTCTATTTTTTGTGGTAAATGGTACTGAATAATTAACTGCAATATAAGGTTTTAGTGGTAAATGGTACTGAATAATTAACTGTAACATAAGGTTTTTGTGGTAAATGGTACAGAATAATTAGCAGTAACATTAATATTGTATTTTTGAGTGGTAAATGATAACGAAATGATAAACTTAATTTTTCATTTTTTAGTAGGAAATTTTACGTAATAATTGACTGTAAGTGTAGTTTTAATTAACTTCAGTAGGAGATGGTACTGTATGATTAGTTCGAACTTGTTTTTCAATTCAAGATTAAGATAGTGCCAAATAATTATTTGCAGTTCATTCAATGGTAGATGGTACTGAATAATTAACCAAAGGAATTTAGTAATTTATCTAGTGGTAGATGGTACTAAATGATTATTTGTTATGTTTAGTAATTTATTCAGTAGTAGATGGTATCTGAATGATTAATTAGAATGGTTAAGTAATTTTTCCAGTAGTAAACTGTACTGAATGATTTACTGTGATGGTGAGGTAATTTATCCAGTGGTAGATGGTACGGAATGGTTTACTGTAATGGTTTAGTAATTTATCCAGTGGCAGATGATACGAAATAATTAACTGCATTGGCTTAGAAATTTATCCTGTGGTAGATGGTACTGAATAATTAACTGTAATGGTTTAATACATGTAATGTATACAATGTAGTGAAGGGTACTGAAGAATTAACAGTCAAAATATTCCTAATTAAGTGACTGATGTGTTGGTAGATGGTACGGAATGAATTACCATAACATTATTTAAGGTATGTCACTCGTCAGTTTTTGAAAAAAGTTTAGCCAGAACCTCCTATGTCAAATTTATCAATAACAATTCGTTTTTGTAATATGTGAATTAAACAATGCAAATTATACAATATTTAATTTAAAAACTGATCATAAACCGACAAGAAATAAGACTTATCGGGGACTATTGCATGTGGTGGAAGGATTTTTAGAAAAAATTCTTCAAATCTACACACATTTTTAATAAAATATTTTGGAACTTAAGCCCAGTATATTTATACCTTATATAGAATTTTTTTTTATCCTAGTTATATTCAAAAATGGTTTCAAATAATATTTTCAGAACAAATTTACACATTCACTTAATGCACTTTGTCAAAAAATGAATATAATTCGAAGAAGTCAAGATAAAATTTACACTGTTTTCGCCTGTAAATCACATATTTTGATTAACATCTCAAAATTTACATCACTTGTCATAACTTTTTCTTTCAATATTTTAAATTACACAAAACTTCTTACCGACAGCACTTAAGTTTAGATTTTTAATACCCCAAATATGATTCTTCATAAGTGCAGAAAGGTCACTCGATAATTTACACGCATTTTAAAATTTGCAGGATTTTTTTAGTTTTAAATATTATTCAAACTAATTTACGTAAAATAAGATTATATCAATAGCCATGATTAATCTGGTAAAATATGAAAAAAAGGTTAAAGTGATTAAACTAGAAGTTACAATTTAAGTGCAAAAAGGTCAAATCATTTGTACCGTTGCTCAGTAGGATGCACTCTGACCCATAATTTTCTTTGCGATTTTGAGTCGTTCTGTAAGAGTAGTTATCTGAATATACTTCTCAAAAAATCCTTGATATAACTCATGTCACGAGTGGCATAGCTTGAAATTGACTTTTTTGTGATAGAATTTACTGTATAATGATTTACCACAGTACTTTCATCGATTCATTTAGTGGTAAATGGCACAGAATAATTAATTGTATAAGTAGTTGTAATTTATTCAGTGGTAGATGTACTTAAAAATAAATGGTATTTGTAATTTATTCAGTGTTAGAGGTATATACTGAATATTTTACTACAATGGTACTTGTAATTAAATCTAAATCAGTGTTAGAGGTATATACTGAATATTTAACTATAATGGTATTTGTGATTTATTCAGTGGTAGACTGAGGTATTATATAATTAACTGTAATGGTGTTTGTAATTTTTAAGTAATAGAGGGTACCGAATAATTTACTATAATGGTATTTGTAACTTATTCAGTGGTAGTTGGTAAAGAGACAGACCGTAGAATCTGTGCCTTACCTTCGGTAACAGTGTTTGTAGACACAGTAGTTGTCCTTCCTGTTTCTGTAACATTTGCGCTATCAGTCTTATTATCGACATTTGTAATATTCTTAACTAACGTTTCACAATGTTTTCCTATGTAATGCACTGGACAATCACAGAAATACCAATCCTCTTTGTAATTCTCCTGTACACATTTCCCACCATTCAAACAAACATTTTCCTGAGTTAAACAAACACTGATGTTTTCGCAGTGTAATCCCTGTGAATCTATTGGGCATAAACATAAATATCCTTCTTTTTCTTTGGGAATACAAGTTCCATTTCTCTGGCAAGGATTGAATTCACACGGATCATACTCCTCCGCACACGTATCCCCCCGCCACCCTATACTACAGTTACAGGTCAGGGTATCGTTTGTCACGTGACAGGTTCCATTGTTCTGGCAGTGACCATCATAACACTCTACTAACGCTGGATCTGTGCAGTTGTCTCCTACAAGTGAAGATGTACAAAATATCATAGATTTCTATTGTAGAATTGTCATATTAATTGGTTCATCTATATACAAATGGATATAATAGTTATAACTTTTATTTAATTTCACCATCATATTGTATTTATACTACCTAAAGTCAACCTCTTAAAAAAGTCTATTTTGAATAAGAGCTGATGTGTAATCAAAATGCTGTGTACCATCAAACGAAATTCAGATGCTCTAACCTTTCACACCTGAACTTTATTTTATTTCAAGGAATTACCTGTAAAACCTTTAATGCACTCGCAGGTAAATTCTAGGGTGGCATTATTACAGATCTGGTTGTGACCACACCGTTGCGTTCCGCACATCTCTTCTGGCCTTCTATCACAGTTCTCCCCCTCCCAACCTTTAAAGGAGGGACATTCATTAGTATTCAATTGTATGCACTGATTCACTATTTCAGCGCATGTCCAAACTTTTAGGAATTATCAAAAGATTTTCGTTTGGGGGGGGGGGGGGGGATGGCTTGTTAACTACATTCAGCTTTATTAACTTTAGCTAATTTTAAGATATACACACCATCCATACACACTTTCGCCCCTGTTTTTGTATCACATGTGTAGTGCCCTTTTGCATCATTACGTTCCTCGCACATTACGTCACATCCGGGTCCATAATAGTTCTCCTCACAATAAACGCTCACTTTATAATCCAGTCTATAAAGATTAAAGATGGACAGAAATGTTAATTTAAAATGTATATACTAGCATTGTTTAACTCGAGAAAGATTCATATATGATCTGCTAATGCGACACATCAGCCAAAACTTATCTATATTATGATTTTTGTATGCTACTGCACTCGTCTTTTACTTGTAAATACCTACAATACCCGTGTTGCAACAGAGATCCCGATACTTACAATGTTCTAGGTGTTGCTAACCGGAAGCTCTGCTCACGTGACAGCTTTTTATTTTTTGCTGCTGACAATGTAAAGTTCCCGTACAGGAAGTCCACTTTATCATCTGAATTATCATCTACATCAAAAACATCGACCTTAAGTTGCGCCTTCTCCTGGAAATCAAACGGTTCAGTATACTGAGCAGGATACGACAATTTTTACATAAACAACCAAAATATTTTCATCATTATGATGGAGAATATATATAAAAAACGCTATATGTCTGACGACAGATTCAACCGATGGAATTTGACATTGTATATTTTTCTAGGTTTGATATACACTTAGCATTTAGCAGGAGTCTCCAGTAAATATTGTCATAATACAGTCGATAACTTGATTTCACCTGGAGCTGTGAGAGAGGACTTATTATTGAATAGACAATCTCTTTCTGTGTACTCGCTCCAGAGTATTTATTTGTGTTTCTTAAGCAATAATCTTGTTTAATAAACCTCTTTGAAAACTTATAAAACTTATAAAGTAATTTTATAAAAGATTAAAATGGTTAGATAATTCCTTGTTGGATAAACACATTATATTTAAATGAAATATATGGAGATAACGAACAGTATTCAAGCTCAAAAGTCCATTAATCAATACAAAATAGGAGCAGAGCAAACACGGACCTCCAAACATCAGAGGTGGGATCAGGTGCCATGGAGGAGTGAGCATCCCCTGCCGACCGGTCACACCCGCCGTGTGCTCCTTGTCATGATCGGGAAATAACGGAAAAATCCGTCGACAATTCAGTGTGTAAATAATGGCCTAACAATTAGTGTGAAAAACGTCAGTCAGCATTTGACTCAATGACAAATTGTATTTGCTGACAAGGTCATTGTATCGACCATAGAACTTACGAAATGATGACTTTAAACGAGACAGCTGATATTCTTGTTTCATCAACTTATTTGTCAGTAATTTACCTCGTTTTAGAAATTGTACATACGTAGCGCATGCTCTTGCGTATCGAATCAACTGAGAGATATATACCCCGTATGCAGGTGATGAAGGTATATTGCTGCATAAGTAAGGGAAGTTGACGATTGAAAAGTTAAAGTCATCACGTTTATCATAAAGCTTGGTTGTTAGATTACCATTAACGTCTTTTTCAAGTAAAATATCCAAATATGAAACAGATGTGTCAGACTCTGTGGTATCTTTTATCTCAAGTTCACAAGGATATATCGTATCGACATAAGAATGGAAATAGCCATTGTTAATTGACAATACGTCGTCGATATATCTAAATGTCGAGTTGAAGGCCACAGCAAGTGTTTTCTTCTTTTCACGTACAAGATTTTGGACAAATTCTGCTTCATATGAATACAAAAAAAGGTCTGCTAATAACGGGGCGCAATTGGTACCCATGGGAATTCCAATAGATTGTTGGAAGACCTGATCTCCGAAAACTACATAGATATTGTTAATCAGAAACTCAAGCATCTTTTTAATGTCAACTTCAGAGTACTTGTGTGAACAATCAGAATGTTTTTTAACAAAATAATTTTGCAAATGACCAATGACAAGGTACGTATATTTACGAGTTCCATTTTTATTGAAAAAGCAGCTGTCAATGATATCAAAAAGCCTGGACTTTAATTTATCGTGGGGAATGGTTGTGTACAAAGTTGAAAAGTCGTAAGTTTTTAAGCTGTTGATTTTGGTAAAATCTTGTGATTTCAAATTTTCCAAAAGTTCCTTGGAATTTTTAAGTATCCACATCTGATTTACGCCACTTCTCGAATATATTGTTGCACAGTACTCTTGAAGTTTCTCCTTCACCACTGTTAATATCTTAGTGAGGAGTAAAGATAGAGGCTTGGTTGAACATTTACTGGAACCCGCTATGTATCTTTGTTTGTAAGGATTTTTATGAAGTTTCGGAATCCAATATAAATATGGTAATTCAAATTCATTTTGGTTGTTTGGAATATTAAAAATATTCAAAACTGACATATGATTTTGAAGAATTTCATCCTTAGAAAGGGAACTATGAGTGTAAGTTGGATTACCACTTGTAGAACTAAATCCAAGTTCCTCTAAAATACATTTAATATAATGAGCCTTACAAACAAAGACAATGTTGTTACCTGCTTTGTCAGCAGGGACCAGTACATACAAAGAATATTATCTTTATTTCTTATAAAAACCATCGCCATTTATCAGTCAGTAAATGCCACTAAGCAAGCCACCTGCATAGATTTCTAGAGCAACGGCTTTTTCATCAAATATGCATACAATGACATACAAATATATTACTCAACATTTAGCATATATTTGATTTTACTTTGAATGATTTTTTATACAGATATAAATATAAACAATAAAATATCTTTCTTTCTTTGATTGTTAGTACGGGAATTAACGTTGCACCTATTGCAGAAAAAATTTACAATCCCCCGCATATGCGGGTTATGTATTTTTTCTGCAACAGCTGAGACATTACTTCCCGTACTAACAACCAAAGAAAGTATTTTATTGTTTAACTTACAAAAAAAATGTTTCAGTAATTGTTTACCCTTCAGATACCATTGAAAATCATCGTAGCTGTGGATAATTACATTTCAAATATATTTCAATTGGTATCATCATCAACAATAACTTTAATATCCCTGACATTTAATAAGAAATTAGTGTAAATCAACATTTTAGCAGTTAATATTCATTTTTAAAATATATAGTTAGCTAAAATACCATTCAAGATCATCATCTTCGTTGCAATAATTTACCTTCCAAATATCTAGATAGAAAATCATTGGATTTCTCACACCACCAAATGAGTCGGCGAATATATTGACGTTAGCATTATCAATGGATCCAGACGACTTCCTTCCTATCTGACAACGGTTCACATTTCTGTTGCTGGAAAAAAACAAAGAAAAAAATCAAACATTTCCAGAATAATGTCGGCTTGTCAACATGTAAGATACAAGTTTGATGTAAGGTATATTGATTAATATTAGAGGAAGTCTTGCAAGAAAATTAATTCATAATATTTATAGACAAAGCACAACTCAGTCAAATTATTCTGGACAACATTTATGCTTGTTGGGATTAGGAATATACTAAACATGTCTGATTCAGAATTGTGTAAGGTTCTTTTCACAATCGCGTCATTGTAGAAGACTCATTGAAACAAAGGCAGTCTTTATTTAGAGAGTCTGTCATTACCTAAAATACGGTCATTTTGAGAAGGTAATTATGACATTTAAATCTTTGATATAGAAGCAGTAGTTTTGTTTTTTTTTAATTTATTCATTTATTTTTCTCTTGAATAAGAGTTATATGCAACTAAAATGTGTATCAACACCATATTAAGCTCATATGAGGCACTGTATTAAATGTATACCTCAGGAGTTAGTTAAAACTTGGCTTTGCTTTTGGCATTCGTCTTTCCCATACCTTGATTTTCCATTTGCATAAAAGAAATGTATTAAATTTGCAAGCTTTTGATGTATTGGTGACTTCACTTGAAATGTTGCATTAATTTCTTACTCAATTCCATGAAAATGTGCAATCCCCTACATCATTTTTATACTTTGCATTGCTTTTCCTTTAAATTTTACAGTATCTGTTTCAAACAAGATTAGATACGGTGAATTTATACATCGGCCATAGTTTGATTTTAGCTTTAGTTTACCAAAACCATTTTGAGGTCAGTTTAAACTTATCTTACCTCTTTTCCATGTCCACTAAACATAAGACAGGATCTAATACATTAAAATATCTACTAAATCTGGTCCCAGGTATGATTAACAAGGATTAATTATGAATCTATTATCATCTGTACTCTGTCTTAAGTTAAACTTACTCCTCTGCCTTATCTTAGCAGATGACAAATCGATGATTAAATTTATCATTTACTGAATTCTGACTTGACTTACTTTAGTGCCTCCTCTAAATAAATGACAAATCGATGATTAAATTTTCTGCTCTGTCGTTTACTTACTTATCAGACTCATCTAAACAGATGACAAAGCGATGATCACATTTACTGCTCTGTCTTTTACTTACTTATCAGCCTCATCTAAACAGATGACAAAGCGATGATCACATTTACTGCTCTGTCTTTTACTTACTTATCTGCCTCGTCTAAACAGATGACAAAATGATGATCACATTTACTGCACTGTCTTTTACTTACTTATCTGCCTCGTCTAAACAGATGACAAAACGATGATCACATTTACTGCTCTGTCTTTTACTTACTTATCTGCCTCGTCTAAACAGATGATAAAACAATGATGACATTTACTGCTCTGTCTTTTACTTACTTATCTGCCTCGTCTAAACAGATGACAAAGCGATGATCACATTTACTGAAGCAGAAGAAGCCCCTCCCGTCACAACAGTGCCCGTTCTCCCCTGTCCCTGCGTGGTTGATGTAACGGGCGAACCGAACCTCCAGAATCGCTTTGCTCAAAACAGTCTGGCAAATAGAAAGTATTAAAATACAGAATTAATACAGTCTGGTAATTTATGGTATAAATAAATACACAAATAACACTACTCGTCTCTTGAGGTAAGGTGTTTTTTATGTATACAAATACCAAAACTAGTCTCTTGAGGTAAAGTATCATAGGTTTTACAAATAACATTATTCGTCTCTTAAGGTAATATATCATAGATTTTACAAATAACATTATTCGTCTCTTAAGGTAATATAGGTTTTACAAATAACATTATTCGTCTCTTAAGGTAATATATTATAGGTTTTACAAAAAACATTATTCGTCATTTAAGGTAATATATTATAGGTTTACAAATAACATTATTCGTCTCTTAAGGTTATACAATATAGATTTTACAAATAACATTATTCGTCTCCTAAGGTAATATATTATAGGATTTACAAATAACATTATTCGTCTCTTAAGGTAATATATTTTAGGTTATACAAATCACATTATTCGTCTCTTAAGGTAATATATTTTTGGTTATACAAATAACATTATTCGTCTCTTAAGGTAATATATTATAGGTTTTACAAAAAACATTATTCGTCATTTAAGGTAATATATTATAGGTTTACAAATAACATTATTCGTCTCTTAAGGTTATACAATATAGATTTTACAAATAACATTATTCGTCACTTAAGGTAATATATTATAGGTTTACAAATAACGTTATTCGTCTCTTAAGGTAATATATTTTAGGTTATACAAATCACATTATTCGTCTCTTAAGGTAATATATTTTAGGTTATTCAAATAACATTATTCGTCTCTTAAGGTAATATATTATAGGTATACAAGTAACATTATTCGTCACTAAAGGAAATATATCATAGGTTTTACAAATAACATTATTCGTCTCTTAAGGTAATATATTTTAGGTTATACAAATCACATTATTCGTCTCTTAAGGTAATATATTTTAGGTTATTCAAATAACATTATTCGTCTCTTAAGGTAATATATTATAGGTTTTACAAAAAACATTATTCGTCACTTATGGTAATATATTATAGGTTTACAAATAACATTATTCGTCTCTTAAGGTTATACAATATAGATTTTACAAATAACATTATTCGTCTCTTAAGGTAATATATTATTGGTTTACAAATAACATTATTCGTCTCTTAAGGTAATATATTATAGGTATACAAATCACATTATTCGTCTCTTAAGGTAATATATTATAGGTTTTACAAATGACATTATTCGTCTCTTAAGGTAACATATTTTGGGTATACAAATAACAATACTACATTACAGTCTCTTGAGTAATCTGTAGGTAAACAGAAAACAATACTCGTCTCTTGACGTAAAGTTTTATAGGTATAAAAATACCACATTCCCCGTCTCTTGAATAAAGTGTTTTAGGTATACATATAGGTATACAGATGAAAATACTCGTCTCTTGATGTGGAGTATTAGATGTATGCAAATGAAATTACTTGTCTGTTTAGTTAGAGTATGAGAAGTAACTAAAAACTTGGATCATCTGTTCGAGAGGTATAAAAATACCTTTACTCATCCGTTTCTAGAGCTAGATAGTGATAGGTACACAGATAACTTTTTCATTTATAGCCATACAAAGGGTAGTCTTGAAGTTCAGCTACAAAAAAAAACCTAACTGATTTGTTAAGTTTAGTGAATGGTTTACAAATAACAGTTTTCTCTCTCTCGCTAAATTTTAGAGTATGACATACATAATTTAGTTCTAGTCTCTAATGAACAACGCACATCTCTAGAGTTAAGAATAAAGCATACATAAAACTTGTTTCTAGAGTTTTGTAATAGGTATATGATATGCGCACTTTTTCTAGGGTTTAATCGTTATAGATATATAATAACAATATATTTGGCTTTAGGGTTTCATTGTTATAGGTTTACAATAACAGTGTACTTGTCTCTAGGGTTTCATTGTTATAGGTTTACAATAACAGTGTACTAGTCTCTAGGGTTTCATTGTTATAAGTTTACAATAACATTGTACTTGTTTCTAGGGTCTCATTGTTATAGGTTTACAATAATAGTGTACTGGTCTCTAGGGTTTCATTGTTATAGGTTTACAATAACAGTGTACTTGTATCTAGGGTTACATTGTTATAGGTTTACAATAACAGTGTTTTTGTTTCTAGGGTTTCATTGTTATAGGTTTACAATAACAGTGTACATGTCTCTAGGGTTTCATTGTTATAGGTTTACAACAACAGTGTACTGGTCTCTAGGGTTTCATTGTTATAGGATTAAAATAACAGTGTACTGGTCTCTAGGGTTTCATTGTTATAGGATTACAATAACAGTGTTTTTGTTTCTAGGTTTTCATCGTTATAGGATTACAATAACGGTGTACTTGTCATTAGGGTTTCATAGTTATAGGTTTACAATAACAGTGTACTAGTTTCTAGGGTTTCATTGTTACAGGTTTACAATAACAGTTTTCTTTTGTGTAGGGACACGGCTTTGCTCAGTTTGCTGATGTTCTGTATTGTTACAGATATACAATATCGGTATTCTGTTGTGTGGAGACACAGCTTTGTTCAGTTTGCTGATGTTCTGTATTGTTATAGATATACAATATCGGTATTCTGTTGTGTGGAGACACAGCTTTGTTCAGTTTGCTGATGTTCTGTATTGTTATAGATATACAATATCGGTATTCTGTTGTGTGGAGACACAGCTTTGCTCAGTTTGCTGATGTTCTGTATTGTTACAGGTATACAATAACAGTATTCTGTTGTGTGGAGACACAGCTTTGTTCAGTTTCCTGATGTTCTGTATTGTTACCGGTATACAATAACAGTTTTCTGTTGTGTGGAGACACAGCTTTGTTCAGTTTGCTGATGTTCTGTATTGTTACAGGTATACAATAACAGTATTCTGTTGTGTGGAGACACAGCTTTGTTCAGTTTCCTGATGTTCTGTATTGTTATAGATATACAATATTGGTATTCTGTTGTGTGGAGACACAGCTTTGCTCAGTTTGCTGATGTTCTGTATTGTTACAGGTATACAATAACAGTATTCTGTTGTGTGGAGACACAGCTTTGTTCAGTTTGCTGATGTTCTGTATTGTTACAGGTATACAATAACAGTATTCTGTTGTGTGGAGTTACAACTTTGTTCAGTATGCTGATGTTCTTTATTACCTGTCACGGTCAGACAGTGTACGCTTAACATAATCTAATTCTGTGGTTTCCATGGCCATCTGATGCTTATTGTGTAACTATTTAATTTATTATTCCTCTTTTAAGATGTCTTACTATTGGGTTTTTTTTAATTTTTATTGTTAATTTTTCTTATTGCAATGCTAACCCAATTCTGTATTTGTGAAAAATATATTATTTCACCATAGATCATTTTTAACATATTTCTCATTTCGTTCAACAAGTTAATGTGTTATTTAAGTTATATTTTGATATATATTCATTTAATACCAAAAATAAGTATGAATATTTCTGTAAAATATACACTTCATGATATTTGAACAGTTACATGTTAAAGTACATGCATGATTATATACAAACATGCGCAGCACTATTCTTTAATCTTTTAACTGAAGTTATATATCACAATTTCTGTATATTACACTGTAAAATGTAAAGTGGAAAGAGTATTAATAGATTAAAATAAAAGTATTGTGGAGTACAGAGGACGCATATACTAAACTATCGTCTTGTAAAGGAAACTTCATGCTTGCCAAAGTGTAACTTACATTTTAATGTTTAATCAAGTTTTATTCGCCACTGTTTATGTCTCCGAACTGATTCTTTGCGCAACAACATGTTTTGAGTGAGATCAATTTATAAACCGACGGAGGCGTTTTTAACTAAAAAAAGTAACGTTACAGGGCTTTCAAAAGTCTGGTTTTAAGTCAGTATTCCGCAAAGTATATGGTCTTTACAATCTGATCAATACAAAATTACTTGTATCACGGCGGTGGTGACCTATTGACGGGGGGGGGGGGGTGCTTACTTCTAGTCATAAAATTATGAAGTCAAATCTTGGATAAAGAGAAGGAACAATGTGCATTAATGAAAATAGTAATGTTAATGTCACATTATTTATATTAAGTACACTGTATGTATATATGTATTTATTCCTTGAAATTCATTGGACATATAGATGCAGAGAAAAACCAAGTTGACATGTTTTATGTGCTATCAATTTGATGTCCTCTCTTATAACTGCAGCCTAGGATTTCTTAATAATGAGTGAATAGCACCGCATTGATAATAACTGGAAAGAAATTCAGTTCGAATTTTCTCTAAAGTCGTTCAAACGTGAATGTCTAGGAACAGCCATGATTTTATGACCCGCCACTTTATGCCTATTTTCGAGTTAGAGACGTCGCGGGACGAAGCCATGGTTTCATAATACACGTGACCTTTGATTGATAGCAATACCTTGACCATCAGCAATAAAATCAGTCTGATTCCTAGTTTTCTCTGCTTCTTTATTTATGACTGACCTACTACGAAAAAATGGAAACGGTGGTCATTGAACTAGTTTTGGTGAATACAGTGGGCGACAGAATATGTAGTATTTCTTCATCATTTCATTAAAAATTTTATTTCATTTAGTGATTTCTAATATCTATAAGAATTGGGGCTTTTATCTTCCCAGGTTTATCCTATTCTTACTGATACACTATACACGATATCTAACAATAAAGATGTTGACGTTCAAAAACATGATAAAATATCGCATTCTATCAACAAATCTGGTTTTGTTTTAGTTTTTTTTTAGATAAATTTACTAAGCTGTACACACTGTATACATGTAGAGTATACCTTCTGTAGGTCAACAAAAAATAACCTGAATGCCAACATAATTTCCTCATTTGACTGACAATATAATCAAGTTGCATTATGCATATTAGCTGTCACATATGGACACAAACTGTATTTGTTAAACAGTCTACACGAACATTTAGTGTCATCCATTTGTTGAGAATGTTAATGTAGTTATAACTATTAACACCTTAACTATGCACTTTCTGTATTAGATTGTATTTGTATGTACTGTAATATATTCTTTATAATAATTTACTTGTAATTTATTTCATTCACGAGTATTCTTGTAATCAACATTCAAAAACTGATGAAAAGTATTTTACATAGATTTTATATATAAGATATGATTTTTTCTTATGAAGATGCAATGATTGATGTACAATGTAAGATCACCTGTAATAGTGAAATGTAAACCTTAAAATTGAAAGTAAAACTGAATGTCAGTAAAGAATCATTACAAAACATGGAATTTGTTGGGGTTTTTTTTTATTTAGTCAACTTACTTGATTCCTTATGGAATCATTGTATGAAATGTAAATGTTTAGACCACGTCTCTAAGTTCCTGCTTGTTTTTTTTTTTTTTTTTTTTTTTTTTTTTTTTTTTTTTTTTTTTTTTACATCCTTTACATTATTAAGGTTATGGGATCACTGTATGAAATATAAATGTTTGACCATGCCTCTTGGTTCCTGCTTGTTTATTTCCATCCTTTACATTATTAAGGTTATGGGATCACTGTATGAAATATAAATGTTAAGACCATGCCTCGTAGTTCCTGCTTGTTTATTTCCATCCTTTACATTATTAAGGTTATGGGATCACTGTATGAAATATAAATGTTTAGACCATGCTTTTAGTTCCTGCTTGTTTATATACATCCTTTACATTATTAAGGTTATGGGATCACTGTATGAAATATAAATGTTTAGACCATGGCTCTTAGTTCCTGCTTGTTTATATACATCCTTTACATTATTAAGGTTATGGGATCACTGTATGAAATATAAATGTTTAGACCATGCCTCTTAGTTCCTGCTTGTTTATTTCCATCCTTTACATTATTAAGGTTATGGGATCACTGTATGAAATATAAATGTTTAGACCATGCTTTTAGTTCCTGCTTGTTTATATACATCCTTTACATTATTAAGGTTATGGGATCACTGTATAAAATTTAAATGTTTAGACCATGCATTTAGTTCCTGCTTGTTTATATACATCCTTTACATTATTAAGGTTATGGGATCACTGTATGAAATATAAATGTTTAGACCATGTCTCGTAGTTCCTGCTTGTTTATTTCCATCTTTTACATTATTAAGGTTATGGGATCACTGTATGAAATATAAATGTTTAGACCATGGCTCTTAGTTCCTGCTTGTTTATATACATCCTTTACATTATTAAGGTTATGGGATCACTGTATGAAATATAAATGTTTAGACCATGCCTCTTAGTTCCTGCTTGTTTATTTCCATCCTTTACATTATTAAGGTTATGGGATCACTGTATGAAATATAAATGTTTAGACCATGCTTTTAGTTCCTGCTTGTTTATATACATCCTTTACATTATTAAGGTTATGGGATCACTGTATGAAATATAAATGTTTAGACCATGCCTCGTAGTTCCTGCTTGTTTATTTCCATCCTTTACATTATTAAAGTTATGGGATCACTGTATGAAATATAAATGTTTAGACCATGCATTTAGTTCCTGCTTGTTTATATACATCCTTTACATTATTAAGGTTATGGGATCACTGTATGAAATATAAATGTTTAGACCATGCCTCTTAGTTCCTGTTTGTTTATTTCCATCCTTTACATTATTAAGGTTATGGGATCACTGTATGAAATATAAATGTTTAGACCATGCTTCTTAGTTCCTGCTTGTTTATTACATCCTTTAATTATTAAGGTACATCACTCCTCTGAGTACTCTGTATAAACGTTTACTTTCTTTACTTATGACTTTTGATAATTAATTTTACAAGCTTTCTACTATTTTTTTCTGTCTATACTTATTCTGACATTTTGTTAGTCACTGTTAGTATCTCTTAATCAACTAAATCTTCGATATACATGAGACATTTCCTTTACTTTTTCATTATTAACCCAATCAAATTCAAGCGAAAAGAGCCAGGATTACAAAACATTAAAGAAAATGAAAAGATGATAAGATGTCAAAAACTTAAAAAATGTCATTCCTCTTTACATATAAATATCTGATGCTCATAATCCATGTAATATATCAAAGACATTATAATCAAGGTAAAATCTACTTACGATCAATCAAACATCAGATATTTTAATTGCAGATTTCTTGCTTTTTATCTTGTTTTGCGTTCGATCCTTGTTTTTATTACCTAGAAATCGGAATTTGTTGGAGAGTTTTGTCATATCTGGCATAATATCATACATATTTGGTTATGTTAATACATTGTAATGTTACTCGTTCTGTATGGACTGAACGCTATTTTACTTTTCATTTTATTCATTCATAAGTTACTGTAATTATGTACTTTGTTTAAGGATAGTAACTAACAGACAGGAACATAGGGATAGAAACAAACAAACAGGCACATATATAGGGATAGTAATTAATAGACAGGCACATATATAAGGATAATAACTAATAGACAGGCACATATATAAGGATAATAACTAATAGACAGGCACATATATAGGGATAATAACTAATAGACAGGCACATAGGGATAGAAACAAATAAACAGGCACATATATAGGGATAGAAAGTAATAGACAGGCACATATATAGGGATAGTAACTAACAGACAGGCACATAGGGATAGAAACAAACAAACAGGCACATATATAGGGATAGAAACAAACAAACACATATATAGGGATAGAAACAAACAAACAGGCACATAGGGATAGTAACTAACAGACAGGAACATAGGAATAGAAACAAAAAAACAGGCACATATATAGGGATAGAAAGTAATAGTCAGGCACATATATAAGGATAGTAACTACCCGAAAGGCACATATATAAGGATAGTAATTAACAGACAGGCACATATATAGGGAAAGTAAATAATAGACAGGCACATATATAGGGATAGTAACTAACTCATAGGATCATAGGGATAGTATCTATCACACCGGCACATGTATACATGTAGGGATAGTAACAGGCAGGCTATAGGGATTGTAACTAATATATATTAAACAATCGACAAAAATCAGACAGGTAACAATCCGACGGTCGGTAAAATCGTCACTTCGTTCGGTTGAGATCATCAAAGTCGGGATCAACTAGAAGAATTTCTTACAGAAATTTTTTTTTTCTTGAATTAAATAAATGAAATGTTTGTGATTATTTTTAAAATAATAATAATAAGAGATACATGTACTTAAAAAACTTCAAAGAAACACTTTTCTATTCCTGTTATTTACTTATTCATGGTAGAGGATTGCACTATAAATGGAATAAGTTTTCTTGGATAAGAAAAACTACACTGGCGATACGATAATTATATGTATGGTTTTTTTGTTTTTTAAATTAAAGAATAACGGTGAGGCGTTACGATAATATGTTGTGTTACAAAGACAGGATAAAGACAGAGGAGTTACGATGATACGTTGTGTTGTAATGACAAGGTTTTAAGACAGTGACCTCAGGTAATTTCCGAACATTTTATGACAGTTACTTCTGGAAACTTTACATCTTATGCTAATTCAACAACATCATGTGCTTATGAATCTGTATAACACTATTCGTCATTATGAATTAAAAAACTGAAGTGTGTATCAAGCGTGTATATAAGCTATAAACTTAAGACGCAGTGGGTTAAATGTGGTGAAAACTGAGAATTGTATTTTTTAGTAACGTTAAGTGTAAATGACAAAGTGAACACGACTGACGAACTCCCACCTTTATTACGGAGAAAATTAAACTGATACTGATGAATCTCTGTATTATAAATATCTCGTTTTAACTGTTATTAAATTCTATTGTTTATGTAGCCACATAGTATTTTTATTTCTTAATATATAATTTTACTCAATATTCTATTACCTGAATTCTTCATTATTTGATTACATAATAAGGACACAACAAAATCAGATAGAAACTAATATAGTTCTTAATCACTATGAAGTTTTCTATAACTAGCAATGACAATTACAAACCGAAAAAATGCAAGAAAACTTTCTACTCACCGGCAAAAGTGCACAGAAAACTAATCCTAAAAACACAAAATCCATTTTTGACGGAGAGGCAAAAACTACTTAATTGGTCAAATGTAAGCAGCCTACTCCATCGCTGATTTAGAATAAAATCCAAAAGAAAATAATGTTAATAATGTGTGTGTTAGTGAAACAGAGTGTGTACGGAGACCAGTGACAGGGAAACGCTGAAAATTTGTTGACAGACAGCTATAAAGAAACAGAGCCTCGGGCTACAATATGACGTCACAGCATTAATCATTATTGTGTTTTTAATCAGGTGTGGTTTGACTTTTAGGTAATCAATTTCAATTTTTTTATTATCTTTATAAATAACTGAATTTTTTAAATAAAAGAAATTATCAAAAAATGTAAAGCTATGATTTTTTTCCCCATGAAACTAAAATTTAAGGTAAATTATCACTTCAGTGTTAATGAATAAATGCAGGTGCGTGTTGAAAATAGAGCTATTTGTCGCTGACTCAGGGTAAAAATATTATTCTTTCATGCAGCAATCTTTTACATCATTTTACAGGAAACAACAATTAAGATTTACCAGGGAATCTTAATTTCTATAAAGAAATGACTTCTAATTCATCATCTGTCGATAATGTTTAAGGTCTCTAAATAATTTATGCGGGGGAAAAACATAGAAAACCAAATATCTATATAAATATAGAACACAACGAAAAACAAAAAAAAAAGTTTATATGTATTGCATCAGGATTGACTGCTTTATGCATCAGCGTCAGACATACTTATCAATAATAATATTCAGTATTTTACCTGATTTTCCGTGTTTTTTATTCATTATTTATGAATATCAATCATCTAAATTGTCTATTCTCTAAATATATGCACACATTAATACATGTTCTGATTTGCATATATCTGACATGTTCTAAAACATTTTCTTTCCTACATTTCTATGCAAATGAATAAATTTCTCTTAAAGGTCATCTATTAATAATTTGTTTGTTTGTTTAACGTCCCTTCAAGAAATTTTCACTCATACTGAGACACCACCACTTGCCGGTGGAGAGCTGCAAATTTAGACCTGTACTCGGCACTTACGGCCTTTGAGCAGTGAGGGATGTTTTTCAGCTCCTACTGCGACACGGATCTCGGTTTACGGTGGTCTCCTTACTCCGCGACTCTAGGGCAAACGCTCTAACCACTGCGCCACGCGGGCGGATCTTTTAAAATAAAAAGAGAGATACTGACATCTGTTCTAGATAAAACATTTGGTATAAAAAATAAAAGGTTATTTTGACCAACATTTTAATGTTCACTTCAAACTTTCTTTTTTATGAATACATTTTACCATTCAATAAATAAATTGATAATTTATCTATCAATGATAATGCAGCTTAATTTTTGTATCTAGGACATATAAATTCTGTTACCGAGCTTAATAAATGTGTCGATCTCCATATCAATATTCAAACATACCAGAGTGTGCAAATGACTGATCAATTCGATAGAAAGCTACGTAAAAAAAAAATAATAAGATAATTAACAATGCCATTAAAAGGCTCTGTGGTCACAACACAATGTAGACTACTTAACCCTCCTGGAAAAAAAGAGCCATGGTGTTAAAAGTTTATGGCTAAGATTCATATTTCATATTTTTTCCATAGAGCTATTCGGTATATTGTCGACTAACCAGCCTCCTTGAACCTTACTGTATACATTACTTCAAGTCCAAACACGCACCTGTAAATAACACAAGAAATGAAAAGTAATATGTCGACAAAGCCGTACGAGATACTCATGCTGTAGTAAGTTAATTTAATAAGAAATGCCATAAGTATTCTAAATTTACTTGTAACATAAACTAATGTGTTTCATTGAAAAATTAAATACCAGTTAACTGACTAGTGGCTTTATCACGCAGATTTCATCTTACGTTAATCTGCAAATATTTCTGAAAATGATTTTACCTTTCTGCATATTAGAACTACGAAAATCTTTTGAGAGTCATTACTAAAGCGTCTGTATTCAAAAATATTAACTAATATGCTAATAACACACTGCATTTTCAGAGCATGAAGAATAGTCCAACACTTTAGATGTTGCATTTAGACTTGAGCCCCCGCCCCTACAAAACTTGAGTGTAAACAAATAATAATGAATTAAAACATTTTTGTGACGTCACCTTTTGTTGGTCAAGTAAGTTTCTAATTGTCCTGCACTCCGTCCAATAAGTTACCTGTAGGTGTCATATAAGATTAACTTATTGGACAGCTACAGGTAACATTGAAATTAAAAGAAAGATGACGCAGATAAATAAGTAGTACTGAAAAAAGTTTTCATAAATCAAACACTTTAATATGAGCAATGTAGGAAATTAGCAGCGTAATTTATAAATAAATATAAAGAAATCAGTGGCCCCATTAATTCACCGTTCATTACTCTTTATTTCACATTGTTTGATATACGTAACATTCACAGAATCTTGGGGACACAAAAGTAGAATCAGATTTGGGATTTTTTTTCTCTTGCGTTTAACATCCATTTTTCTTCCTTTAACTATTCCGTTCACTAAATTTGGACTGATTCTGTGACGTAAACATGTATTTTCGTTAGATGTGACCATTTGCTCTTCCATTCCCATGTTATCTGAGCGAGTGTCTGTCGTTGCTTTTCAGGAGTATCTGGAGTAAAATTCTTCAAAACCTGCGCACACTCGCGAAACTGTTTGTAGCAAATTAAAAAAAATATCAGAAATAATCTCCCTATTTCACCAAAAAAATCAAAAGTGGTTGGAGTAATATCCTTCAAATCCTATTGTTTTACACAGTCTCGAAACTTTTTCTTACAAACTCCAAGATATAAAAAAAAAATATCTCCAGATTTCACGGTAGGAAACTCTAAGCTTTAGCTTTCATTTTGTGTTCTTCATGACATTGTCCGAAATACCTGAATATGAGGAAGTTTTTTTTTTTAAAATGTATGTCATCATCTGCCGTATTGCGTTGTAGAATGATTGTCAAGAATTTAATAAAATTAACTTTTACGCATGCGTAGTATACATGTATATTTAAAAATGTCGCAATGCGGACAAATAAGACTAAACAAAGTTAAAGTTCATATTTATTGATAAAAAATGGTGACTCAGTGATGCCTACTATTGATAAACTACAGTGGTAAATTCAAAAGCTAGTTTTCTCTGGCCTATAACTTAATGGACAATGCCAAATAAAGTCAGCAAAGCAGAATGAAAACAGTTTACCTGCAGCTGTCCAATAAGTTAACAATGGGATTGTTCGACATTGGCGAAATATTTTAAGTAAGTTATAAGCCTCAAACTGACCATTATGTCAGATATTAGACTCTCTTCGGCGCTAGAGCGCCTCGGACCGTCTAATATCTGACAAAATGAACAGTTTTCAGCTTATAACTATAGCTTAGATAAATACAAGTTACAGTTGTATAAGTCAAATAGGAAAACTCCAGATATATTTCCCTTTTTCTGGTCTGTTTATTTTTGTTTATTTTTTCTGCTGTTTATTTTTATTTATTTTTTCTGCTCTGTTTATTTTTGTTTCTTTCCTCTCTGTATTGATTCGCTGTGTGTTCCTGTTCCTACTGTAAGCGCTATATAAGCCTGAACTATAAGGATTAAAGGTACAAAAATCCAAAACAAGTTCAGAAAAACAAAATAAAACCAAAAATGTAGAGGATGTCCAAACTCCCCGTGGATAAAATCGTCCTTGGCTTCTATACACATGTAGAGTGTGTCGCCATACAGCTGACAAAGGGACACAACTAACTGAAGCGGATATCTGTGACGACTTCCGGTAAGATGAGCAATGGCCGCCGCAAAACTCAGCGGACCGTCAACCAGAGCAGTGATGGTTTCCATGCATACAACAAAAGAGTCCGACCTGTAAATGATAAGGGAGTCGTGTAATTTAAAGTTTTATTTATTTAAATATTTAAGTTATTTATAAGTACTTGCAAATGATCAACTTGGTAGACACATTAAAGGAATCATTTATATCTCATTAACCAAAGACAAAATACACATAAAAAGACGTAAGTGACTTTTTTTTGACACAAAGAAATGCAATTGTCTCATTTTTCCTTTGTATTATGTACATAATCCATGAAATGATAAATTCACACAATGGATACAATCTTAATTTTACACTTTAATTAATTCATAAAATTTTAATTAACTATGAAATAAAATTTAGTACTAACATACTTGTATTTACATTGTGTTTCAGTTCTGAAGAAGAGGCCCATTGGCTACAACTCTAACCTGGTCTACATTTATCTTGTATAGCTTAGTCAGTGTAAGATTTACCTATCATATTCTTGTATTTATTTCAGTTCTGGAGACAAAAGAAGAGGCCCATGGGCTACAACTCTAACCTGGTCTACATTTATCTTGTATAGCTTAGTCAGTGTAAGATTTACCTATCATATTCTCCTTGTTGTCAAGGAGGTCTATGTATCCGTATGAGATACGCTGTATCCACTCACTTGGCGGGGGGGGGGGGGGGGGGTAGGAGGGGGGTTAAGGGAAGGAAGTGTGAACGGACTTGAATCTGAACTCTCCAATCATGCTCTATTATAAATACGCTAATTAGATGTTTTCCTAATTCTAAAAAGAGGTATGATTGAAAATATAAAAAAAAAACACATGAAGTTGGAATAAAGCTAAAACTTTAGTAAACAGATTTGGGAATTAAAATAAGGAATTAGAATAGAAAGGTTGAGATGAAATTGCAAAAACAATAAAATGAAATAGGAAATTTAATGAGAAAATATTTAATTATATGTGGTCTTGACGTACAGCAGGTCCCCATAGAAACTTAAATAGATGTTACATCCTAAGGTACAGCTCAGTAATGATGTTTCATTTCCTGCATGTGAGATTTATAAAACAGACCCATTCCCAAGTGATCAAACTTGCATAGATGTGAAATCAGACCCGCATTTTACAAAGAAAGGATGACTTTGATGTTTTTGAACACCCTGAACTTCTTATTCAAGTAATGACAAGTCTTACACAATCATGATTTGAAACTTAACTACAAATGCTACTCAGTAACTGTCATTCCGGACTGTAACCTCTAGTTTCTATTTTAATAACTTACGTGAGGTATCGACTGTCACCATGAGCGTATTCCTTCCCTAAAAAAAAGCAACATAAATTGTACAGAGAGAGAGAGATTTAAATCTCATATGTTGAACACTACTTAAATAAAAGTAAATATTCCTTCTCTATCTTAAATAGTGTAACTGTAATTCTGATATCAAATCGTAAACGAAGGATAAGCTTTTAATAATTACTGACATGTAATAATTAACACTTGTATCGTGGAGACATAAATCACAAACAGCGCCAGAAACTAAACCAGCTGTGGATTTATAGGCTGGACCAGGGGGTTCTTCCTCTAAAACGTCGGAGGAAGTGGACACTACCAGCACATTTTGCATTTCTGAACTAATCAACCTGACCCTACGAAATAACTTCTCCCTCACTTTTATTTCAATTAGCTTATCAGATTAAGAAGAGATATTATCGGGTCCATGTCATATTTGTGGATCCGCCACTATATAACTCTGTATATTCAAGCTGAGTAATGCTATAATATCAACCAAAGCAGCTTTATCGCCGTGAACATTAGTGTGTCGACTGCGCTACACTGTAATCAGTTTAATATCAAGTACACTTATAATGGTTTTAATAGTGAATTTCCCCTACCTACTTGATTTTTTTTTTAATATATGCAAAGTTAAAAATAAACATGCACATAATTATTACAATTACCTCTCTGTAATTGATAGAGAAACAGAGATAGATCGAGGAGTAATGGCTTACAGGAGAAAAAGAGAGAGAAAGAGAGAATTACTCGGCGGGATAAGGAGCTTACACATTTCGGCCAGATATGATCCACCCCCCGATAGAGTCTGGTGGTTTACAGCGAAGTATCCCTCCAATACACAATGAATGAAACCACACGCCACAAACCAGCATATTATCACTCGATCCGCCCCTCGCTTCTTATAACGTCCTGCTAAAATCCACGTGCCGATAAGCACCACAGCGACCAAACCAAAGAACAATCCAAGAAGCTCTGAGAGGCGGACACGATTAGGTCTGTATCCCGGGAGGGACAAGGAGCGAGGAAAGTAAGGGTGGGGGGTCTGTTCTCCCTCAGGCATTTTGCAATGGAGGAGAGACCACCACTGTTTACATGTCGTCTTCTCGGATCACTGATTTCCTCTGACTTTTAAACTTCGGTTCATCGTCACAGACTACTTCAGGGTAAAACATGTACTGCTCAAGCAGAACCGAGTTCTGCCATTACTAATCAATAAGAGCATATTCAGGTTGATCGCTACCATTGGTTGAAATGTTGATTATTGTGGTATCTACCGCTTCAAAAAGATTCGCATGAATAAATAGATTCATATCTTTGATCCGCCTATGAGGTCCGAAAACTATAGTAAAGGAGTAATTTAAGGGTATATATAGGCACACAATGTGTAAAATAAATCTTTTGTATTTAATTTTTTTAAGGCTAACTGCATGTCCCCTCTTTTGTTGCGGGGCGTTTATATACCCTCTCATTAATGTATCCAAACTTGTCCTTAAAAAGTAGGCTTTTAAGTTTAAAAGTCCACCTCCCCCTTCTTTCGGGAGGGGGGGGGGGCTTGTCAAAGTTTCATCGACCTTTTTTAAACGTCTGTCAATTATTTTCTGACTGCCCCTACCCCTACCAACATTCAAAGACGATATACACTATATGCCTTATATATATAAATATTTACAGATTTTATTATATATCAAATGAGACGAAATGTTAACTTTCCGTGGGACTGCCTTGGTTTTATTATTTATAATAATGTGGTTATAGTATATTAAATATTAATATAGTGCTCAAGTGCTGCCTACTTGGACGTCATTGTTTTCTTCTCTCACGATGCAGTTATCTTTCTTAGATTGCTACTTTAACATTGTGTAGGTGGTGGGACTCAAAAAATAAAGTAAAAATAAATAAATAAAATGAAGAAACAAAAACCAAGTGTCTGTGTCTTTTTTTCCCGTGAATCGCGGAAGCTCTAAATTTTTAAAGTCTTTGAATGTTCATATAAATTCTGTAATGCTTGAGATTTTATCTCCGAGTAAAGAACAGTCGCATTATTAGTTAATATCTAACCAGTAAAAACGACATTTACATTCAATAAATCAAATACTTAGATGGGCGACACTGTTGGCACCAAGCATAAAGAAGCATTTTTTTCTTAAGAATGTCAAAAAGGTAAAGCAAAATATATGATTTAAGGCATCTCAACTAAATTTTGGATCAAAAAGGGGACCCAGCCCCCCCCCCCCCCAATGTCCCCTCACAATCCGCAGTGTAAAGATATTAGGAGAAGTTAAGAATTAAATCAGTTTATTTACTACAAACAACCAGATATAAAATTGTACGCGAGGTTTCTTTAATTTGTAAGACACAGTATTGTCCTCTATAAAATTTAGAATTTTTGTAGATGACAATTCTCCGAGCATCATCGTCAGGGAACTCGAAGAGAGAGAAGTCTCGTCAAGCGAGGAATAAGACGTTCACATTTATGCCTAGTAGAGGGTCTTAGTATCAACGGCAGAAATGAAAAGTCCACCTGGAGAACAGGCAGATTCATGGTTTTTGTGATATATAAACAATTTTTAGTTTCAATTTCCTTCCAACGTTCTCAAAACTTAGAAATTTAAGTCTAATTTAAAAATATTGCATCCGTTTCTAGCAAACAGAACGGTGCTTGTACTTCTATATTATTCTTTGTACTAATTATAAGCGCTGGTTCGTTGACGCAGCTCTCGTTAGGCTGTGATATTTAACTTATGGCTGGGGAACACGTCTACGGAAAGTTATCTGCCAGATCCGGCGTCTGGACAGTTCATCATTCCCCTTGCCACTTAACTCGGCCGTTTACCTCCGAATTTTTGGTATTTTCTTTGTATGGAAACCTGAGCGCGACTCTTCTACCAGGGGAATTACCCTTCTATTGATATCCAGACTACATGTATATCCCGAATTTTTATGTTGTTTCTGGTACAAATATGTCCATGATATACTTCAATGTTCATCATAACCAGCTTCAGAAAAAAACCGAATTAGTGCATATATACATGTATTCTCTTTAGAGAAGTGGACAGGCTTTCGCCTACATCCACTTCTCTTCGCAAGCCTTCATGTTTTGATTCTGGAAAACGTGTAAATCTCGAACCGGTGACGGTCTACACTTCAACTGACATTTCGTCTAAAATACGTCTGAATGTACGTAATAGACGTGTTATGTTAACAATTTTAACATAAATACACACAAATGTCACAAGAAAACTGACTTTTAAGTATTGTTAATCCATTTTCACAAGTTCTCCATCCCGGATTTAAATTATGTGCAAGTAACTCTTGAAGTATTCAAAAATCTCTAATTCGGATAAAAATGGAAACTATTTTTACAAAATAATAATGAAACGAGAGAAATCGTCTACTCTGTTTAAACTAACGAGACAGTATTTCCTCAAGTTTCGTTCAAATTCTTTTGATCTTTGTTTAAATTTTTTTTTCATTTCTCGGGAAAGGTAGAGTTAATATCGTTTAAAAATAAAAGAAAATATTTTTTAGTATTGTCAGTGAGGAAGTAATGAAGTATTTTTTAAGCTCAAATTTACATTTAAATTGTATTAAAATAGTAAAAATAAGTAAAGGTAATAATATTAATTTTGAATAATATGCTAAATCAAAAGTGAATTGTCAAGAACTTTTTTGAACTATAAAATACTTCTTCACCAATTTTTCCAAATTATCCGACTTAAAATTTTCAATTTTTTCTAATAAGCTGTGGTAGATAAACATTAGTTTAAATCCGGGATGGAGAACTTGTGAAAATGGATTAACAATACTTAAAGGTCAGTTTTCTTGTGACAGTTGTGTGTATTTATGTTAAAATTGTTAATACAACACGTCTATTACGTACATTCAGACGTATTTTAGACGAAATGTCAGTTGAAGTGTAGACCGTCACCGGTTCGAGATTTACACGTTTTCCAGAATCAAAACATGAAGGCTTGCGAAGAGAAGTGGATGTAGGCGAAAGCCTGTCCACTTCTCTAAAGAGAATAATATACATGTAGATTAAGTATGCTACATGCTAGCTTGCTGACCACGCTATAGTGTCATGTTGTAACTTTTGAATTCGGTGGGGTGGGTGGGCCCCAGCCCTACCCCCACAGTAAATATAACATTTACATGATATATTTTGCACGAATATATTCCTGAATGAAATGATTATAAGTGCCGGTTCGTTGACGCAGCTCTCGCTAGACTGTAAAATTTAGCATGACTGGGTACCACGACTGAGGAAGGTCTGGAATAAAAGTTTCTCTCAGAACGATTACATAGCAGTGACCCCTTCTCAGCTTTGTCTTTCTCAAATGCTGCCTATTTTCGTGTTCTTAAAATGGTCACTTACCGGAGGTGCTGCCTATTTTCGTGTTCTTAAAATGGTCACTTACCGGAGGTAATCAAAGATTAACTCGTCCCGCAACACGACGTTTGTTACAAGTCAGACACATTTACTAGCTACTTTGTAATGTACAAATACTTGAAGTTACAGTCACAGAAAAAAATGTATATAGGAAGTGGTCAGAGTGAAAAGAAACAGTGAACATTATATCAAAAGCGGGTCGTCGTACACAGAGAATTGTCTGCATTCCTGGGATTCAACTCTAGAGAATAACAGTGGTATTATGGAGGTCCGAGTGTTGGCCTGGTTTGTTTGTTTGTCCGTGGTCAGTGGGTGTCTGGTGGACGATAAGTACAATAAATTGACCCCTGAGGACCTGGTCTCGCAGCTACAAGTCATTGTTTATGGGGAGGTGATTGATTTTGTCCAGGGGGATCCTCTCACTGACGCCACATTCCGTGTGTTCTGTATCATCAAAGGCAACACGACTATCCTGGAAAACATAACGGTAGAGGGCGTGAGTCCGCGGTCCGCCTGCTCGGGGACCTACGTCTACTGGGTCAAGATAACGTCAAACTTTGAGAAAACTGGCGCCGTTATGATTCTCGGACTCCGGGAAACTAAAGGGCCGGGGCTTTACGAATTCCATGAGATCAATGATCTTCAATCCTCGGCCTTTGACGATAATTCAGAGTCGTGGAAATTAATCAACAGTGTTGTGAAGACAGAAATGTTTCCTCCCATCAACTCGGCAGTAAATAAGTGTCCGGAGAAATCTGACCAGAGGGGTCCAGAGCCGGACAAGAATCCAGTGGCCAGCGAACAGGGAGGGAATAGCAGTGTGAGAACCAGACTGGACATCAAGACGGTCTGGACAATGGTCATCCTGGGAACGTTACTGTGGTCACGTGACCTATGACTTAGGAGAGACCTGTGAATGGATGAATGTCTTAATGAGTGGAGTGTGATTTGAATAAAGAGAAAGTAACATCGATATTAATATTTTTATGGCCGTTGTGAGATCGTTAAAATTCTATGTTCTTTGTATGGTAATAAATTATATATTATACCAATGGTTTGTTTCAGATAATGTTTGACAGCGTATGTTCTGTTGCTTCTATTGTTTGTGTTTTATCATTTGTGTATCAGTGTTCGGAACTTTCATTCTATTCTCTATAAACTCTGAACGGTGTGAAAGTGCATCACGTTCGGAAAACACTGTGAAAATTCTGAAAGAATATTTTTACTTAAAATTTAATGCATACAATTCTGGAAATACGAAAAGCCAGCATACTTATTAAAATCTCTTAACGCATTTTACAAACACTTAGTTCTAAAAAGTTTATTCAATACGTAGGCGGCGACAGAAATTGTTAGTGTGTTTTATGTTTTATGTCAGAAACAGACGTGTGATATTAATGGTTTCATAGTGTGTATAACCAGTTTGTTAACATATAAAGTATGACATTGTTCTCTCTCTCTCTCTCTCTCTCTCTCTCTCTCTCTCTCTCTCTCTCTCTCTCTCTCTCTCTCTCTCTCTCAAAACACAAAAAAGTGAATGCATTGTGATTTGAGACTGTTCACGCAAATTAAATGTTTATAATAACTATCACTTATCTGTTGAAAAGTACTCATCATGAAAATAAATTTTTGACATTTTGTCCTGTTTTTCTTTGCTTTGATTTTGACATCTTGTCCTTTTTAGCTCACCTGCGGCTCAAGTGAGTTTTTCTGATCAAAAGAAACTGGAGGGATAAGCCGAGCCATATGTCTACATAACGATCGATAAAAAATCAAAAAATTCATTTTACAAAAATTTCACTTTTTGTTGAATTAATGTAATGCTTATTACCATTTGCATACAAATTTGACAAAACCTGAATACTGTAACAGCGAAAATGATTCTGATTAACACAAGAAAACGGCATCACGCTCAATTTCACAGAAACTGACATAAATTGGATGATATAACTACATTTTTTAAATAGAGTGGGTCATCGTACCATTTTTTGGAGAACGATTAAGGAAAGGCAATGGAAAGATGTTGCTTTTTATACTTGCAAAAATTTGGTATGAAGACCCACTCTACATAAAAAATTAAGTTAACTTACTTAAATTTTCACCGTGGTCTTAAAAAAATCTAAGTCCAAAAACGCTTGCTAAATATAGAGAACTGTATGCTATTTAAAAAGACATATAAGTGTGACTCCGTGGTCTAGTGGTTAGCGAGGAGCTCTTTTTATTGAGGAAAGTATTCGAGTCATGCACTGATTTTTTGATTTTTTTTTTTTTTTTTTTTTTTGGTTTTTAATTTTGTTTTACTTTATAAAAAATGTCTATAGGAATAACATATTTTTTCACTGGAAATAAAATATATACATGTAGTAATGAACTTACTTACAGTAAATTATTTAAAATGCCGGATAAAAATTATAATAGATATTTGAATACTTTTATTCCCGTTTTTATTTATTTTAAATAAAAGCGCTTCTAGATCACCATTATCATTATATACGATGTTAACATTTTTATAATATCTCCACAATAAGTGTAAACACTCAATATGCAGATTTATTATAAATAGAAGTCCTTACCCATGTTAGACATTTGTGACAGTAAATGAAAGTCAACTGTTTAGCTTGTTTAGAATATAAATATCATTTTGAAAACTACGGTAAACATTAAAATGCTTAAGTAAATTCGAACAATTGAGAGATTTTTTCCAATAAATGTTCTTGCATAGCCGAAAAATGGGCATGGGCACATGGCTCGTCTTATCCCCCCAGATTCTTTGTCCGTTGTCTGTCGTCGTTGTCGTCGTCGTCGTTGTTGTTGGCGTTGTCATTGTCGTAAACTTTTCACGTTTTCATCTTCTTCTCAAGAACCACTGGGCAAATTTCAACCAAACTAGCCACAAAGTATCCATGAGTAAAGGGAATTCAAGTTTGTTCAAATGAAGGGTCACGCCTCCTTCCAAGGGGAGATAATTATGAATTCGTGAAAAATTGATGGCATCATTTAAAATTCCTCTTCTCAAGAACCACTGTGCTTGAAAATATGAAGCTTATTTGGAAGCATCCTCAGGTAGTGTAGATTCAAGTTTGTTCAAATCATGACCCCTGGGGGTAGGGTGGGGCCACAATGGGCGATCAAAGTTTTACACAGGAAAAATCTTTAAAAATCTTCTTCTCAAGAACAGCAAAGCCATGATTGGTCATATTTATATGGAAGCATCCTCAGGTGGTGTAGATTCAAATTTGCTCAAATCATGACCCCAGGGGTGGAGTGGGGCCACAATGGGCGATTAAAGTTTTACATAAAAATCTTCTTCTCAAGAACAGCAAAGACATGATTTGTCATGTTTATATGGAAGCATCCTCAGGTAGTGTAGATTCAAGTTTGCTCAAATCATGATCCCCGGGGGTAGGGTGGGGCCACAATGGGCGATCAATGATTTACATAGGAATACATAGGACAAATCTTTAAAAATGCTTTTCTTATGAACATCAAAGCCATGATTGGTCATTTTTATATGGAAGCATCCTCAGGTAGTGATGATTCAAGTTTGTTCCAATCGTGACCCCCAGGGGTAGGGTGGGGCCACAATGTGCGATCAAAGTTTCACATAGGAATATATACGAAAAATCTGTAAAAGTCTTCTCAAGAACAGCAAAGCCATGATTGGTCATATTTATATGGAAGCATCCTCGGGTAATGTAGATTCAAATTTTGTTCAAATTATGACCCCCAGAAGAATAGTTATACAAGGGAATACAAACGATATATCAATAAAAATTGTCTTCTTAAGAACAGCAAAGCCATTATTTGTCATATTAATTCAAAAGCATCCCTATGAAGTATAGATTCAAGTTAGTTCAAATCAACCCCCCCCCCCCTCACCTCGAACCACTTTTATGTCAAAACTTTTCATGATTGAACTGATTTTTGCTTTTTCCTAGCAAGAGTGCTCAGGTGAGCGATGTTGCCCCTGGGTCTATTGTTTTCTTTGCTTTGATTAGTTCTTGATGAGGATATATTTTGTAGTCATTCAATGCATTAAAAGACTGGTTTAAGAAATGAATTTAATTTTTTGAGAATTCTACGACGTTTTACGCCTGCATATATCATGAAGTGCTTTAGCGCTACATGATAAATATGCCGGCGTGAAGCGTTGTAGTTCATGTACTTCATGAATTTCTCAATAATCAAATTCATATCTTATATTTACATTATTTTTCTGATGACCTGCCACATATTGTGGTCATTTAACGATCATTTTTGAAAAAAAAGTTTGCACTTTTTTTTTTACTTCAATTACTAGTACTTCACAATGGAAATATTCTTACTCATCCCACGGTAATTCGTGAGAACGTGATTTTTTTTCTAATTTGCAAAGAATCTTAAGGAAAAACTATTTGGAAATGTAAATATTTGTTTGTAATCCAGGCTTTAGTTTTGTGTATCTCTGTGTTTGAGCTTATGTAAGTTGAACTATCTATTTTAGCAAGTACTTGTCTTACGGAACACCAGTGACGTGTCTAGTGGTGTTCTATCAGTGACGTGTCTAGTGGTGTTCTGTCAGTGACGTGTCTAGTGGTGTTCTATCAGTGACGTGTCTAGTGGTGTTCTATCAGTGAGTGTCTAGTGGTGTTCTATCAGTGACGTGTCTAGTGGTGTTCTATCAGTGATGTGTCTTGTGGTATTCTATCAGTGACGTATCTAGTGGTGCTCTATTAGTGACATGTCTAGTGGTGTTCTATCAGTGACGTGTCTAGTGGTGTTCTATCAGTGAGTGTCTAGTGGTGTTCTATCAGTGACGTGTCTAGTGGTGTTCTATCAGTGACGTGTCTAGTGGTGTTCTATCAGTGACGTGTTTAGTGCTGTTCTATCAGTGACGTGTCTAGTGCTGTACTATCAGTGACGTGTCTAGTGCTGTTCTATCAGTGAGTGTCTAGTGGTGTTCTATCAGTGACGTGTCTAGTGCTGTTCTATCAGTGAGTGTCTAGTGCTGTTCTATCAGTGAAGTGTCTGGTGGTGTTCTATCAGTGACGTGTCTGGTGGTGTTCTATCAGTGACGTGTCTAGTGGTTTTCTTTTAGTGATGTGTCTAGTGGTGTTCTATCAGTGACGTGTCTAGTGGTGTTCTATCAGTGACATGTCTAGTGGTGTTCTATCAGTGATGTGTCTAGTGCTTTTCTATCAGTGATGTGTCTAGTGGTGTTCTATCAGTGAAGTGTCTAGTGGTGATCTATCAGTGACGTGTCTCGTGGTGTTCTATCATTGACGTGTCTAGTGATGTTCTATCAGTGACGTGTCTAGTAGTGTTCTGTCAGTGACGTGTCTGAGGTGTTCTATCAGTGAGTGTCTAGGAATGTTCTGTCACTGACGTGTCTAGTGCTGTTCTATCAGTGACGTGTCTAGTGGTGTTCTATCAATGACGTGTCAAGGGGTGTTCTATCAGTGACGTGTCTAGTGCTGTTCTATCATTGACGTTTCTAGTGCTGTTCAATCAGTGACTTGTCTAGTGGTGTTCTATCAGTGATGTGTCTAGTGGTGTTCTATAAGTGACGTGTCTAGTGGTGTTCTATCAGTGACGTGTCTAGTGGTGTTCAACCATTGACGTGTCTAGTGGTGTTCTTTCAGCAAATGTCTTACGGAAAAAGGAGTGTTCGATCACTGTAGCATCTTACGGAATATAAAAGGTGTTCAATTACTGACGCGTCTTACAGAACCTATAAGGGTTGTTTATCAGTGACGCGTTTTACGGAATATAAGAGGCGTTGGATCATTAACGCGTCTTACGTAAAATAAGGAGAGTTCTATAATCGAGGAGTCTTACGTAATATAAGGGGTGTTCTATACCTGATGAGTCTTACGTAATATAAGGGGTGTTCTACACCTGATGAGTTTTACATAATATAAGGGGTGTTCTATACCTGATGAGTCTTACGTAATATAAGGGGTGTTCTATACCTGATGAGTCTTACGTAATATAAGGGGTGTTCTATACCTGATGAGTCTTACGTTATATAAGGGGTGTTCTATACCTGATGAGTCTTACGTAATATAAGGGGTGTTCTATACCTGATGAGTCTTACGTTATATAAGGGGTGTTCTATAACTGATGAGTCTTACGTTATATAAGGGGTGTTCTATACCTGATGAGTCTTACGTTATATAAGGGGTGTTCTATACCTGATGAGTCTTACATAATATAAGGGGTGTTCTATACCTGATGCATCTTACGTTATATAAAGGGTGTTCTATACCTGATGAGTCTTACGTTATATAAAGGGTGTTCTATACCTGATGAGTCTTACATAATATAAGGGGTGTTCTATACCTGATGAGTCTTACGTTATATAAAGGGTGTTCTATACCTGATGAGTCTTACGTTATATAAAGGGTGTTCTATACCTGATGAGTCTTACATAATATAAGGAGTGTTCTATACCTGATGAGTCTTACGTTATATAAGGGGTGTTCTATACCTGATGAGTCTTATGGAATATAAGGGGTGTTCTATACCTGATGTGTCTTACGTTATATAAAGGGTGTTCTATACCTGATGAGTCTTACATAATATAAGGGGTGTTCTATACCTGATGAGTCTTACGTTATATAAAGGGTGTTCTATACCTGATGAGTCTTACGTTATATAA